ATGTGATTTGGATTTGCTCTGCTATTTTTAAAACAGAAGAGATGTCCAAGCCTCTGTCCAGCCCTCCCCTTATGTTTGGTGCACTTATCGAGGTTGGCATCCTGTCTGAGGCAGCAGATCAGTCAGGAAGTTAACCAGGAGTCCAGATGCTGGTCTTGGAAAGGCTCCTGCCAGAGCCAGGCTTCCATGGGTTTCAGCTGCCAAATTCCCTCCACACAAATGTCCACAGTTCCTGGCTCTCACACTGGGGTAGTTAGAGGAAAAGCCTGAAGAAGAATGTTTTCTACTCTACAATTAATGGGGAGGAGCAGTGCCATGGGAGCAATACTGCTGACATAGGTTGGCATGGCTTGCATTGCAAGTTACTGTTTACCAGCCAGAGAAAGTTCTTGTTTCTCCATGAAGATTTGCACACGTGATGGGACAGGCAGCACAGTCCAGGCTCTGCCTCGAGGAAGGGAATTAGGCTGGGCTGCTTTCCCCTTACAGGTTGCACTGAGATACAAATGCCTACACACCTTTATATGTTAGATAAATATTGCAGTTCCTATCTTCCCACACCATCCTAGGAAATTCACCAATTTTTCAATAGCTGCTTACACTGTAGATCACGGCTTCTACAAAGATACAACTTCATTTTCCTTCAGGCTCCTGAAATCCCAATCCCATGGAAAGCTAGGACTGTACCTCAGGCTCTGTATAACAGAAAACTTCACGTGCTAGTAATGCTATTTTTTTTTTCCTAAATGGGGTTTTGGTTAAGCAAATCTGTCTGTGATGCTCTCGCTGACATCTCTGTGGTGGGGAGCACACCTGCCTTTTGCTGAAGGTCTGGCTCTGCAGGTACTGAAAGGGCTTTTCTTCAGGCACCCTGCTTGAAAGCTGGGACTGCTTTTGGTGAGCACACACTATACTACCTGCTCATAAAAAACAACAGTGTAAAGCCTAAACTGCAAACAAGGTGTACATGGGGATTTCAAGTCATGATTAATCATCATGCTTCAACTAATTTGTCCCCTAATTTTATACCAGTGACATGAAGGTTTCTGAGACTGCAGGATCTATGAGCACCATCAGAATGGGCCATCATTCCTCAGACCAAACCTAAGGGTCAGTAGAGAGCACACATGCACATGTCCCTCCTGGGACAAGAGGGCGTGAGATTTCAAATCCACAGTCACATTAGCACTTTCCGGGATGTTAATGCTTTTAACATGCTGAACTTGGGAGGTTTTATCCTTCCAATTTCAGATTACTCATTGAAATCTCTATTGCAACTGTGGACCATGAGTCCATAAAAGGTGATGTGGGTAGTGAACCCTTATAGATTCAGTTGTTGCCTGAGGCTTGATTTTGTTTCGCAGGTCTCTCTCGCATACCTCTGGGGTGTGTAGTTTGTTAGTTTTGAGCTAGGCTATGGCTGAGTTTCAAATTACAGCTTAGGGATATCCAAACAAGTCGGAAAAACAAAAAAAAATGATTATTCAATCTAACATGGATTCTTTTACGAGGAAGTGATGAAAGCAAACGCGACAACTGTAATCACAAAAGGAATTACTTCCAAAAGCTTTGAGCAGCTAAAAATATAGCAGAGAGGAGAAGGAGGAAGGATTTAGGACAAAAGCTGGAATTCAACCTTAAGTATAACAATGAGTATCTACATTTACTGTCATAAAGACCTCATCAAAAGCATGTGCTAAAGGTCCCTGTGCACACAGCAAACGCTGCACTATTTTAACTGGTCTATTTTGGGCCGACTTCATAAGGACGCATTGGTCACAGTGGCAGGACTCACTTTTTGCTCATATCTCTATATGAAGAGACAGCACTTCTCACAAATGACAGTAAAGGCCAGGGTATTTCATCCAAGATTTTATCTTTTGTTTAGTGGCATTTTGCCTTCAGTTTCACTCTGCTGTTGACAGAGACATTTGAACATTTTTATTGATTCAAAAATCTGAGCATTAAGACTCATCTTTATAGTTCACTTAAAAGTAAATGTTTCAAAATGTAAAACTCCTCATGCAGCTTTTAAACTTTATTGGCTGAAGACTGAGTGCTGTAAAATGATTTTTTTCTTCAGTAATGGAAGTTCTATTTTACAGAAAATGGTAACCATTAACTCGGCTTGCTGAGAGCAAATGAACAAAATCAGACCTGCTCTATGAAAAAGGAGGATCTGGTCACCATAATAAAAGTACAAATTTTTCATAGCCTCTGTTTTTTCAAGATCTGCTCATTCCTAACTCCTGGGTTTTACTACACAGTCATTTGTTAACAGAGGAATAATTTTGCTCATTTTAAATGCAGCTGGAATGAAAAGTGATACAGGCGGAAACAGGAATGAATGAAGGACAACTTGGAAAGTAGTTCCTTCCTCTTCTTCAGCTTGTGTACTACGTGGAAGGAACTCAGGAGGTTATCCATGGTAGTATCAGCTACATCCTTGTTCTTCCTGGCTGCTGTTTTTCTACTCTTAAAAGCATCCAGTCTGGAGACTCAGAATTTCTCCAGTCAATCCATTACAGGGCTTCATAATCTTACTATCACAAAGATTGGGGTTTTTGACTTGGTGTCTAATAAGAATCTTCCCTATTCCAGCTGAAGCCTTTCCTTACTTCTCCTTCACTTTCTCAGCATAGGATCTGTGCTCTGCTCTTTGTAGTAACTCTTGGGATATTTAAAAACATTCTCAGCATTCACTCCTATCTCTTTTTTTTACAGTAAGCAGATGCAGTTTGTCCAGTCTTTCCCCCACAGGTAATTTTTGTTGTACCTGTGGGGATTACAACAGTGCTCTGGATCCTCATCAGATTATCAGCATCTTTCTTATGTGCTGGGACCAAACTGAACTAAATGGGGCTGAATTCATAGATGGACAAAATCAAAATACCTACAGCACCCAGTGGCTCCTGTGTCTTTTCTAGCACTGGTACTGGGCACACCACAGGCCCCAGATTCTATGACCTGCATATGGCATCTGCATGATCCCAGACGTGCTCCAACAGCTCCTAGCACATGCCTGGCATCCCTTCAAAGAGAACTAAAGGCCACTTGCCTCCACTTTTTATAATGATGTGTTTTCAGTGAGAACCAGGCCCTGAATTAATCTCTGTTCCCCTTTCAAGCCCCAGACCTCACAGGGATGCACCTTGTCACTTCTTGAGCTCTCCTTGTCTGCAGAACACAAAATTCTTCACACGAGGGAACAGCATGTGGATAGGTTTGAGAATTCAGCAAGCTCTCCTCACATAAATCATCTAACATCTCTCACAGTGTCCTTCAGCTGCTCAAGAAGTTATTATTCCCATCCTGCTTTACTGCATGCTATTTCTGCAGCTTTCTTGAGAAATTTTCTGTACTGAACACCTATGAAGTAGCTACCTGGTCATCTTTGCCTCTGTCTCTAGACTTGATGGAATTGTTGAGAAAATGGGTTTTGGCAGTGGCTTATTTTAACAGACTTGAGCCTCATCACAAAACAGAACAGCACTGGCACTATCAGACACGTGCAATCACTGGAAGAAGGGAACAGTTGTGCACTGTCCCTCAGTGAATACTTTTCACATGTGTCTGTTCTTTCTCCCTGGCTGTAAAGTTTGGCAGGAATTGATTTGAAGGGCTGGGAGAGAGCTGGTTGTGGCTGATGGAAGCCTTTGTGGGGGTAACAAAGTTGTGCTGTTCTGGATGGATGCAGCTACAGAAAGTTCAAAGTTCAGGATTCAGGTTAGGGTAGGCTAGACACACATACAAGTTCTCAGAGAGCAAGGTACAGAAAAATGTATAGGAAAAGGTAAATAAATGTCTTTGGACCATTTAGTAATAGTTGAACTTGTATGAACATGGAACGAAGGCAGGGCAGACAGAGTCTGAGTCTGCTCAGACATGGGATGCTCCAGAATGCCTCTAAGTTCACATGGGGATGGCATTTTTGTGGCTGTACCCACCACTGACTGTCAAATGGCCTGAACTCAGCCCCTCTCTGACATTCAGGCTGTTCCTCAGCATGGACGTGGCCTAAAAGCATCTCTCATTGCTTCAGACTGCCCTTAATTTTGTTCAGTCCTGGAGGTTAAATAACCAGATGGTCAGAGCGCAGCTCAGGGTGTGCTGAACACACAAGCAGACAGGTGCAAAGAGACCAGAAAGGCACGAGAGCACAGAGCTGGGACAGGATGGGTTGGCAAAATACTTCTCCAACATGCTGGCAGGAGTTTTCAGCTGTTGCTGGTGCTCACACAGATGCATTTAATGCTAGCTTAGAAATTTCTTCCAGAGCAGTACTCACACCCATGAAGTAGAGACGTATTTTGGGAGGGAATAAGACACTCGAGCAGTACCTCCCTCTTTTTCCTCTGGGATATGCTGCTTCCAGCTCACCCCAGCCCTCCCTCAGATGGCAGTCCTTGTTCCTGCTGTGCAAACCTACCTGGCATGCCCCCTCAAACCCCAACGCTGCCAAAGGAAGGGATGTCAAAGCCAATGTTCTCCTCCCATAACAGGAATAATAGGAAAAAGATAGGATAATAGGGTAATAGGAAAAAGAACAGCCCTTCAATCTTGCATTTAAACTCCCTAAAATAAGTGCTAAATAAGCTTGAAACTGCCTGGTTCGTGCCTGCCTTTCTGGGAGCAGGGAGCTGGCGAGGGAGGTCTGGCTGACACAGGCGTGCACCTCCCTTCCTGGGCTGACCTGGCCAGTCCTCCCAGGGATCTCCCAGCACCCGCTCCCTGGCGGGATGGCATTCCCCAGCGAAGGAGAGATCGCATTACCCGGGCCCCTTGTGTAATTCTGGTTCCCAGCAATTGTTTTCTGGTGACCTTTTATTGTTAACAATTAGCGCTGGAGCTGGAGCACAACTGGTGTAAGCATATTTTACATCCTCCTCGAGCAAACAAAAAAGCTGGGTGGGCACGGTCTTGTTTCCTGGTTCACACCCATGACTCCTTTGTGTCTCAGATCTCCTCCCACCATGTGTCATAGTCAGCAAACCCACTCCCTTACCTTTTGGCTCCCAGATAGAGTGACGTCTTCGAGGGATGCGTAGGCATGCTCAGTGTATTCCATTATTTCCTTTCACATCCTATATGAGCACTGCCTCTCCCTAATACTCAGTCTTTCCTTATCCGTGAGGCCAGAAATGTAAATCCCTATGCAACAGAGTGCAAAGAGTGAGTTTGAAGGATGGTTTCTATTTATTTAAATGTACAGGCTATAAACACCGCCCTCCTACACTATGTTTTGGGTTCTTGCATGTATTTCCATACAGTAAATATCTTGACAGTTCCCTCTGCTCGACCTCAGTGATATACGCACATCCCTGGAAGAACAAATACATCAACAGTCTGCTAATCTTCACAAGTAATAACATAGATTTTTCTTCTCTCTCTTCACTTTATTTAACTACAGTTGGGGAGAAAAGACGTAGTTGGCCACCTGCTCCAAACCAGTTGTTGTAGCCCAGGAATATGCCCAGTTTCTGAGCTGAGGACCCTTCCGAGATGTGCACTTTGCCAGTAAGTCTTTGTCTTTCCTGTGGGGAAGAAGGGAAGACGGGGAGGCAGAAGACCAAGGAAAGACACTCCAATCTAATCTTGTTTCCTGCGTTATGGTGTGTGCGTGTGAGGGGGTGTGCAGTGGGCGGAGGGGGGACACTACATTAATCAAATCGTGATTCTTTTAGGGTACAATAGGCAATTAAAAACAACAACTTGAATTTCTCCTGCAGTCTGTTGGCAGCTAACACACAACTCATTCTTTCTGCGGATAGCTTTACTTAGCAGGTCTGTGCCATGACTAATGAAGCCATCTCTCCGCTAGCGTGCTAATTCCAGACCTTTTGGGAAGGAGCCCGGCTGCAGCTCACTGCATGGCCCTCCCCTCCTTGCAGGCTCCTTATGGCCACCCTGCAGGTCCCTCCTACTGCCTGCGCTGTGCTCGGGAAAAGTGTGAGAAAATATTTCCCCCTCAAAGCTGCTTTCAGGAGAGCGCTGCTTCGCGGTGACATTTAAGGACAGATTTTTCTGGGGCGCTTCTCATTTTATCCAAAACATTTGAAAGCCTCTTCCTTGGCAATCTTCTTGCCTGCTCCTCGGTGGCATGTTATCTGATCTCTCCATACCCACTGGCTGTGGGGAGAGGCACGCGTTTCACTGGTAAAGTCACAGTTAAACTAAACATTAAACTGTCCAAGAACTGACTTCCTCGACAGCTCTGATTCAGGCTCCCAAAAATGCTCTGCACAGTGAATCATGCTTCCTTCTGGAAATGACAGAACTTCCTCATCATGGTGTTCTAACTTGCCCTCTCCTCGTCTCCGGTGCTATCAGGAAAGGATTGAATTGCATGCCACATTTTTTCCGTGGTCGGCAGGGAGATGCATCCTTTTTGAAGGGGAAGAATTTCTATGAGTCAAAGGATGACAAACTGAAAATTAGTACCAGCCGCAGAAATAAATGACAAACAACAACATAAAGCCCCGTAGAGGTGGCCAGTGGGTGTTTATTGGCTATTTGCCTTTCTAGCAACTTCAGTAGCCTGACTATTGAGAGGCAAACTTGCTTTTCAGAACTGAAAGTAGGAGCAAAGTTGAAACCACCAGGATTAGCTCTCTGATTGTCTTCCCTGTGCTTGGTTTGACAGGTCTTGTCTGCTCGAAAGTCAGGTAAGGTGGAGCAGTGCATGAAATGTCTCAGAGTCCATTCCAGCTCTGAAGGACATGCAGCAAGAGTGTGGGGAGGAGGAGGATAAAGGACAGTGTATTTGGGGGCTTGCTCCAGTCAGACTCACTCAGCAGGCTGGTTCACAGGCATTGTGGTGACAGCAATTTAGAGACAGTTTGATGCACAGGACTTTGAAATCAAAACAACAACCCCGTGCTTCAGCCCCACCCCACGCAAACCTCTATGATTGCTGAATAACACGGAGTTGGGGTAAATACCTGACCATATGGTAAATTATGACTTGCACTGGAAATCAAAATTTTAACAGATCTTTTTGCTTTGTATACAAAATTTTAACTCCTCCAGAACCAGTGCAGGTGAAAGCCCAAGATGCACGGTCTATATTAGTTGCTAGGCTCTGGGCATTTCTGGGATTAAATCCTGTTCCAAACCAAATCACTAGCAAATTCCCAAAGGAATAGATTTTCAGCCTCATTTAGACGTAATATAATAGGAGGGCCTGGACACTAAAAACTGGAGAATGGTTGAATGGAAATATAGGGGCAATTACTGTGCTTCCCTTAGAACAAACTTATTTTCTTTCCCTAACCATATTCCATAATCAGAAAAGCACTATGTACTTAATAGGGAAGAAGAGTAAATAATACCAAAAATATGTAAACTTTCATGTGTTTTAGGCAGATGAAATGCATTTTTTCAAGACTAATTTAGGAGCATTTATTGCCTTAGAGACTTAAGTTTATATTCCTGCCCTTTACATTGTCCCTGAGAAATGGTATTGTTTGCATATTGACATTTCACTATTGCAATGTGGTTCACACTTGCTGCTCATAGCAGATGAAATACAATAGAAAGAGGCATGAAGAAAAGAAACAAAATTAATGCCTAATGCATCTGAGCCTGTTTGGGGCTCCCTGTTGCACCAAGTAGGCTCAAAGCACACCTAAGGTGGAAGTCAGGGAATGCAGAAGTGAAAAAAAACCTCCTGAACCACCATATTCAGTCACAGGCAGCACAAACATAGAGTACTTTTCATAAATGGGTCAAGTTCTACCCTGAAAAGAAGACAACTTGTTGCTTCTTGAAAGGCTATCCCACATCTTAATCCTCCAAATTATCTTTTTCTGATTTCCTCCACATACTTCTTTGTGGCCAGAACAATCTTTGTGGCCAGAACAATCTTTGTGGTGTCTGTTTTAACTCAAAACACACTGGTAACAACAATCCATTACTTCAATATAACACTTCCAGAAGTAAAAAATAGTCTTAATAACAAGTAACAGTCAGGTCCTTCAAATGCATGTATTAGGGACTAGGATAGCACACAGAATAAAAGTACCCACTCATTTTTGTCCCTGAAACCACGGTCCTTCTGACTGATCAGAGCTGCAAGGCAGGGGATAGGTATTGAATGTAAGGACATTCAGCAGTTTTGCAATCAGATAGGACCTTGCCAATTTGCTGACTCATTTCCTTTGGTCCCTCGGATGTAAAAATGAGAGGTCTCATCCCACTGCCACTGTATGCCTCATTGATAGACTCCAAAGCAATCTGAATCTAATGGGAAAATTCACACATCAAAAGTATGTAGACTCATGGAAATGTAATTGAAACAACACTTAGAAAGAACATTTCAGGGTTTTGTAAATTTCATTAGTTTAAAAAACTGTAGTCTTAATGCAGAAAGGCTTATTTTAAACCACAAAGAGAGCTGTGGGAATTAGAAATTATCTATTTTCAGCAGTAATGTCTGTTGCATTTTTTATTCATCTGTCTTTCAGATGAGAGTTTGAGCCCAGTTTTTGTACAGCTGTTGGCAAACCTCTCCTTGCAGTGGAAGAAGCCGATTGTTCATGTTTGGAAGATGCTTCAGATGTCTTCTGTCACACAACAAACACATGCAAGAAGAACTTGCTCAAGTTGGATAGGCTGCAACACAAGACCAAGGTCTCATTCCCAGGAAAGGGAAGACTTGGTTTACAGGAGGGTGCAAGGTCTCCATAGACAGAAGAACACCAGGGTTAAAGAGGCATTTTGAAGAGGAGAAAAAGCAACAGATCAGTACCAGGTCTTGTCTCTGTGGCTGCAAACCAGACAACCTGAAGGCAATAGTGGTGGCCAGAAGAAGTTTTGAATTTGGAGAAGTCGGGCTGGAGTGGGGAGTGGAGGACATACTCCTGGCATCAAAATGTCTCCTTGTATCTCTGATGGGTCATATGAAAATGTTCTGTATTTGGGTAACACTTGGTTGGTTGCACAACACACTGTACTTATCAATGGTGATATTCACAGATGTAATTGCACACAGTGATTATGGATTTAGGGGGCCTGTTCACTCTGCTCCCACCTCCCTTCATATCTGTGAATGCCATAAAAATTCACAGAAAGGCTTTTCTGAAAGCACTAGCCTGGAAAAGGAATAATGCAGCTCCTCTGTGGACAGCACAAGAAGCCATGAGCTATCTTCAAAAACACTGTCAAAATCAAAACTTTCCCATCACTTCCAGTCCACAAGCTGGTCTCTTTTTTCTCCCCATGTGTATGAACACATAACCATGGTTGTGAGCTCTCTTTCCAAACAACTCCTCCCTCTACTCACCCCCTTTTCTTCTGCCCTGTCCACATGCACATGTTCTGGCTCTTTTCTGCTCACGGACAGACTGACTGCTCTTGCACACCCACAGGTGGAAAACAAAGTGGAAACCCAGGGCCAGCAAGGCTTCTCCATGCCCAGCCAGCTGCTGTCTCCCACAGGAGACTCAGGGAAGAAGCTCCTGCCAACCCACAGCTCCTCCTAGCTATCAGGGTACCATTGACTCCTTGGCTGTGGACTCACCCACTGCAGTCCTGTCACTCCCCAGCAGCTCTGCAGGGCTGGAGCAGGTCACCACGTGCCTTCAGAGGGCTGTGAATGTGACTGTGTGCTCCTGGTGACTCACTAGGAGGTCACCAAATGAACCAGATCCTGAGCACTGAGAAACTCTGCCAGCCTTGTGTGAATGGGAGAAAAAGGAGGAAGGAAGTTCTGTTGTTGCATTTTTTCATGGTGAGCGGTGCTGAGTCAAAAAAAGGGCTCCAGGATTAGAGGGGGGAACAGCTAAAATCATTAGAGAAATAGAATTTAAAAAGGATAAGCCAGCTGGATGGGAGTGGGAGCCCAAAAGATACCGTATTCTTCTCACTGTAGATGATGGTTGTGAGAAAAATCAGAGAAGGGAGTGACAAGTGGGTGGTGATAGTCTTCACTGCTAGAGTATGACCTGCATTTTTTCTCATCCTGGCCTCTCACTAATCCAACCAACTATTCCCTGAGGGAAGACAGAGGAAGAAGGCAACATTGGGCAGGTCCAGTTGAGTCTGCTCTCCCTAAGGAATGCCTCTGGAGCAACGAGGTTCTCAATCATTTGTACTGACATGGAGCTGGTGGACACCACAAAGGGCCAAGGTGCTGACCAGGGTGTTCCCCACATTAAGCAGAGCTAAAGCTCAGACAGACTGCAAGCTTGGGTGAACTCTTAGCCCTTTGCCAAGGTAAAGTTGCCAGGTTTTACACACTAGAACTAAGGAAAAATAACTCTAGTAAAGCATGTTTGCACTTCTAATAGTGTAGGCTAACTACTTTACTGGAGAAGTGAGCAGCTGTTCCAAAAGTACCAGAAAATTCCTGGCTACATGGTTTTTTACATAGGATGCAGGACATGCTCCTTTATTTAGGATGTTCACCAGTTCCAGTAATACACCAAATATATGCCCAGAAATTAGTTTCTGAGATATTTACATTTTAGGCAAGAATCCTTTCAAAATATTTCCTCAGGCAACCAGCAGTGTAGGGCTGAAGAGTTTATCTTGGTAAATTCTGACTGATTTAAAAGGAAAAAGATTGTGGGGATCAGCTCATTAGCAGTTGTAAACTGGCACTGGTCCAGCAACCTAAGTAAACTTCTAAGTTCATAAACTGGCTGGAGAGAGTCTGGTCCTATTCTGCAACTATTTAATCCCTTAGTATGGCAATGGTTTTACCCCACTGTACTGGCAAGAACTAGCATGGTTTGAATGAAGAAATACTTCATGTTTTTCAGCTCTCTCTTTTTGTCAAGCTGCTGAAGTCCAAACACTGCTTGTGATCCTCTGTATGGTCAGTGCATGACACCTACTAGAATGGATTTCTCAAGCTGATAGATGAGACTGATGTAGGAATGTTAATTTTTGTGTCTACACCAATTAAATAAATGTCCTGCTTCTGGGCAATGGCTTGGCCTATGTACATTTTCTATGGCTATTATTTTCTGCACATTTTCCAAATCTATTAATATGGTGGAAACTATGTAAGATCTTTAATGCCAAATGTTTTGCTTAGGCTGTGTTTCCTCCAGTTGACCAGGAAAGAAAAAGTGGGATAAAGAGCTGCTAGTAAAACAATTTCCAGGATTGCCTGTTTTCCTTGCTTGTAAAAAGGTTCACTTCAATTTAATGTTAGTTACTAATGAATGCACAGCATAGAAGACTAGTGCCTTGATTTATACTCCCTTGAGATATACTTTTGGCAATTGTCCAAAATGCTTTTTTTCCTTAGGGTTTCATTGATTAGCAAGGATGCAAATTAGTAAAAGAAGTAAATTGATATTGAGAAGTCAGAAATGCTACATTTGGTGTCTTCAGTTTGTACATGCAAATTTGTATTCCTGAGATTCATCATCCTTTTGAAAGCCAGCCTTGCTAAGTCTGTATTTATTAATGTTAATTATAGAGGCAAAGCTCATGCCTTTAAAGCCTGATGTGATTTTGGTGTTTTAAAAACCATTTAATTATTTTTGAAGAATGTAAAACAACCCTCCAAAATCTGCAGCACTTGTTATGTACAGAATAAATCCTCTGAAAATTGGTATAGCAAAGTTTGAATTAGTGTGATTTAAAAAAAATTAATAAAGACACAATTTAAGAACTTTTTTCCAACTCTATCAACCTGTGAGAACCTGACTCATATAATTCACTCAGAACTACCATATGGCTGCAACTCTTTCAAAAATTATTCTTTCTTTTATTGGAAGGTACCTCTTCCAAAAGAGTTAAATAATACTATATGCCAGAGATTGCCACAAATATCCTTCCTCTTTGCAAATAGCTGTTGCTACTATTATTGCCAATGCCAGCACAGCAGAGGAAAATACCCTCTGTCACAATGATCCCTATTCAGAATCCAGTGGAAACCTAAACTGCCCCAGGAGAACGCTGCCATTAGGGACCACATTCTCAAGAAGACAAAAATGGTGTGTTCTTTGGGAGCTACGCAAAATGAAAAAGTTGTGGATATTTTATATACAGCCCCATATGTGCACTGGAGGAGCTGGCTGGCTGGGAAGATGCCTGTGTAGGGTGGAAAGGAATTCTGAAATTAACATTAAAAGAAAAGACAGCTCAACCTGGACAACACTAAAGTTACAGGGCACTGCTGCATGATGAGGCAACGAGGACTGGCCACAGAGGAGTCTCTGTTTGTGCATTCAGAAGTAGGGTATGGACTCTAAAATGCCTGGACTCTTCATGGCTTTGTTTTTATTTTCAGTTTTCATGCAAACTGTGGCACATATAGAATTATTTTAACATACAACATAAGAATTTTTATTTGTCTGAATTATAAAGCACCATATGTGAATGCATCTGTTCTTCACTGTGTTACATTTATTATTTGTACTATGGTGGGGCCTCAAGTTTCCACCTCAGATCAGGGCTCCAACTTTCTAGGCAATGCACAAACACATAATGGGAAACACTCCCTGCCTTGAGAAAAACATATTCTAAATTGACAAAGCCAGCTCAGGGTGGGAAAGGAAAACAGCCAGAGCACCGCTCCAATGGCAGCCTAACCTCATCTAAACTGAAGCTGCCACAGTCCTGCGCCTCCAACCCAGAACTCAAATTGCCCATTCAGTGCCTTACACTGGCTCACTATTTGAGTAACTCCACTCCAGCAAGGAGAAGAGCAACACAGATCGGAACCTAGTCCCCTTTTTTCTTTGGTAAGGTTTGTTTAGCAGAGTTACCTCCCTGAAGTTTTTCCCAGTGCTGCACTACAGGCACCAGTGCCATGGCAGGACAGTGGAAGAGCAAAGGCTGTGCCCTAGGCTGGTGTAATCTGCTGTGGAAGCTCACAAAAAGAAGTGGGACAGCCAGGATTGGAGAGGTCAGGCACAGAGCAAAAGCTCTGACACTTGCTAGCAAGTGGAGTTTGCACAACTTTTCCCACTTTGCCCAATTTTTCCTACTTCTCCTCTCCTATGTGGGCATTTTTGCACACACTTGCACAGGCTCACACAATGGTCCAGAGGGTGAGGAACAGCATAGGGTGGTCAGCACTTCTGGATCTTCAGAGCAGAAGGCTCCTGGGGCTATGCTGAGTTCACCAGGCCATGGTCAGGAGATCCTATTTATGAACCCTTTGATGTGAAGTGATATGTCACTAACAAGCGGTGTGCATTACATATGCTCATGCCACAAAAAACCAATAGGAATGGTTTTCATCCTCAGATCCGTGTGTGCTTTCTGCTCCTTTCATTTTCAATTTGCACTCTTGTTTTTAAAAGTCCACTGGGGCTTGCTCCATCTCAGCATTTGGTTTCTTTCTTTGTCCTCCTACTGCAATCTGTTACCTCTTGTTATCTACCATTATGCCTTTCTTTACTCCTTTATGTGGTTTTGCATGGTTGCTGCTGCCTCTAGGAACAAGCTGCCTGCCTCTGAGGGCATATCTTATTTATTTACTTTTTAAAAAAATTCTCATTTGAAAACACATGCTTTTCCTGTATTTATGATGCAAAATTGTTCTGTCCTTCTCTGCTATGGGCCATGAAGAATGCCTGCTTTAATTTACCCTACATGCTGTGCTGTTCATTCTTCTTGTCTGTAATTTATGCCACATACTGTGCACTCCCTGTATTATACAACATAAAGTTGCCAGATGGGTGAGTGCAATGCATGCTTTACAATGAAGGCTTTTAGGCAACTGCTTAATCCGAAGCTGCAGAAGAAGCCAACTTGAGAAAAGAAAGAGCATTTGAAAATATACCCAAACAGGTCAGTGGTTATTATGTGGGGCTAACACTCTGAGAACATTTGCTAATTAGCATATCATGTTTTTAACTTCTCCTTGACATTTATTTTTTCCTGCTTGGTTTTTATGGTGTGTGATGGCAGAGGAAGGAGCCAAGAGCAGAGCATTAAGGGGAAAGAAGGATATTTGGTTCTAAACCAGGAGAGCAGCCACTTTTCAGAATGAATTGGTGCCCAGCACCTGGAGACTTGTCTGGCTGTGGGCAGTGGGTCAGCATGGCAGCACACTTTGCCAGGCTATGTGGGATTCTGTAGAAGATGCTCAGCATATGGGAGAGGTTGTTGTTCTTGATGCCTTGCATTCCTTTCCTGGCCAAGGCCATGTTATATCTCCTTAGGGTTTATTTTATGCAGTGTGGAGCTCCAGCTGCCAGGCACCACTGCTGTACACCCTGCATGGTTCCTGGGGCATGGGCTGCTATGGCCAGTGCTTACCTCTCATCTTCCTTCCCCCTGTCCCATCACCAGGAGGGCTACACCCAGCTGCTGATCTGCAAAATTTGCTCTGCTGTTGCTGCCCTGGACCACTGTACTGGGTTTGTACAGCCAGGTTTTGGTAGTGGAGGGGGCTACCAGGGGTGGTTTCTCTGAGAAGCTTCTGGAAGCTTGCCCCATGTCCAGCAGATCCAGTCCCTGACAGCTCCAGGAGGGACCCGCTGCTGGCCAGAGCTGGGCTGGTTAGAAAAGGTGGTAACACCTCTGGGATAACAAATTTAAGAAGGAAAAAAGTTCTGGTGCAGATGTAACCGCAGCCAGAGGAGAGCAGGGTGGGAATGTGTGAGAGAAGAGCCCTGCAGACACCAAGGTCAGTGCAGAGGGAGGGGCAGGAGCTGCTCCAGGGGCTGGAGCTGGGATTCCCTGCAGCCCATGGTGAGACCCTGCTGAGGCAGCTGTGCCCCTGCAGCCCAGGAGGGCACAGGGATGCAGAGATCACCTGCAGCCCGTGGAGGAGACCCAAAATGGGGCACGGGGATGCTGAGAGGAGGCCAGGAACCCATGGGAGGCCCATGGAGAGAGGAGCCCACCCTGGAGCAGGTTTCCTGGCAGGACTTGTGACCCTGTGGGGGACCCACATTGGAGCAGGCTGTGCCTGAAGGACTGACCCTGTGGAAGAGTGACCAACCTTACAGCAATTTGTGACAAACTGTTTCCATGGGATCAACATACCTTGGAGAAGTTCATGGAGAACGGTCTCCCCTGGGAAGGATCCCATGCTGGAGCAGTGGCAGAAATAATGTGTGATAAAGTGACTAAACCCCATTCCATGTCTCCCTGTACTACTGGAGGGGAGAAGGTAGAGCTGGGAAGGAGGGAGGGGTGGGGGCAAGGTATTATCAAGGCCTTCTTTTACTTCTCATTATCCTGCTCTGGTTTTGCCAGTAATAAATTCAACTAATATCTCTAATTTGAGTCTGTTTTGGCCATGATGATAATTGGTGAATGATCTCTCCCTGTCCTTAACTCATCAACCTTCATTATATTTTCTCTCTCCCCTATCCAGCTGCAGAGGCAGGTGACAGAGTGGCTTTGGTGGGTGTCTGGAATCCAGTCAGGGTCAACTCTCCACAACCAGACTATTCAAGACATGGGTGCATCCCTGCAGTGCTTGAGGGCTGTTTTGTGCCTGGAGAAAGCTGGTGTGGCCATGGAGGGCCAGTCCTACCACCTCCCAAGGGATTACATGAGCACTTATGCAAGCCTTTGTGGGGGAAGCAGGGATGTCCTGGGTGACGCTCTGTGGAAGCTGACAGAAACTCTGCAAGCTTTGGCTGTGAAACAAGACTTTCTCCCCACACCCTGATGTGCTCAGAGAGGCTGTGGTTGCTGACACCAGCAAGAAGCAAGGTGGCTTGCTCAGCCAACACTCCAGCAAAAGGAAAAGCTGGAAGCAACCTTGCATTTCAGGTGGGTTATTGGAAACCAGGCTGGGATTGCTAAACAGATGGTGCAACACTGAGCTTCAGCACCACCACTCCCTGTGATGAGTGTTTTCAAAGAAAAACGTGAGGATGGGGAGAAAAATATGTTAGGGTGTGACAGAATCCTACTGTGTTATGGAAGGGCCAGTGGGAGGAAGGGAGATGTGGAATGAATCTATCTACATATAAAGTGAAGGCACAGCATGTCTGTGCCAGCCAGCACTGAAGGCAGCAATGAAGATGTACCAGCATGGGCTTTTAACACACTGCTCACCATCAGAATGCAAGTTCTCATCATTCTGCTCTGGTGGCAGCTTGTGCTGTAGTGTGTGTGCCTCATCTTGGTGTCCTTGCAGCTCTGGGTAGGGAGCTTGAGCTACGTGGCCAAGCTAAGGCACAGCCCAGGAACACCTCAGCAGGAAAGGTGCTGCATGGAGCAAGGTCAAAAAGCTGCCAAGAGGAGCTGGGCTCTCTAAGTGTAGCCAAAAAACTGTTCTGTGAGCTCACAGCTAAGAAGTGAAAGTGCCAAGACCTTCAGGATTTGGCTTCTGCTTTATCTGTCCACTTACCAAGGCTAAAGCTGATAAATGCACCTTTTGCATACCCAGAGCTAGACTCTATTTTTCAAATGGTATCTCCAGTGCCACTTGGTGTAGCCTTAATTGCTTTAACTATGAAACTGGCACCAGAAAGATGAGGAGTAAAAAAAAAAAAGACAATATAGCATTTGCTAAGAGAGCAAATGTAGCATTACAGGGCAAGGTTGGTGCTGTGAACAACTTCTATGCTCTCCTACATCGAGTGACACATCACTAGGCACATATCTTCTAAGGACACATATCTCTTGAGGACACTGAGTTTCTTAGAGGTATTCCAAGACAATATAATTATCATTTACATTTAAATGTTTTAATTGTAAGTCACAGAGCAAAGCTCACTAACATAGGTATTTGGCGTTTCAAGTTTTCTTCTCAATTTTTAAAAAATTCTTCACCTCTCTAATGATGGATTATGGTTTTACTCCAGATTACTAAAAAAACCAAAAACATGAAGAGTTTGTCTCTGATACAATGAATTTCTTATTGACACTAAACTGGCAGTGCAATGTAACTGATAAGTGCATTTCACACTTAGTTTAACATGCCTTAAAACAATCAGGTTCAAGGACTGAGAGTAAGCATGGATGTCTAAAATAGCTGCTGATATTTCCCTTTACTTTCTGTAAGGCTTGATTTTCTAATAATCAACTCATTTCTCCCATGCATTTTCATGTGCTTCAGTGAGTTGGACACAATCCAGGCATTGACTGAGTGCTTTGCAGCAGTTGCTAAGTTTCTATTTCTTCTAGAGGAAAAAGAAATTCAAGAAAGAGAAACTTTGTGCGATAGTGCCTGAAAAAGGTATTACATCACAGGGCCTGAAAATAACCAATATAAGCCTGTTTGTCATGGGTTTGTTTCCCCTTTCTATCTGACTATCATTAATGGGCCATGTCAGTACAACCAGAACAGGAGCTTCCTCTCTAAGGTTATGTATCCATGTGTCTGCACATATATTTAGCTTCTATTCAGGGCTTAGTCTTTATCAGTCCAGAACTTTCTGTTGCAACTCAGTTGTGTTATTTGGGAATCAGATGCTACTGGACTGATTTGTTGTTAGAGAACCTCAGATTCTCATCCCACAGAGAAGGGCTTCAAGAGCAAGAAATCGGAGCACTGTTTGCCAAGTACCAACATTAAAATCTCATTTTCTGGGCTTCTCTAAGCACTTTACTGTCTCTCACAGTCAAAATTTCTGCACTGTGTCAGATGCTCCTGAATTGGCATTTCCCAGGGTGAAACATGCTGGAAGACCTCAAACACTCCAGAGCAGAGAGAACAAAACCTTCTCTTTGGAGCTCTTGGCTCCCTTCACCAGGCCTGCTCTCGTGCAATGTTTTGCTTCTCTGTTGTAGTGGTCTGAGGACAGTGTGTGTTTCCTCCAAGCTTTTCATTCTTTTGGTTTGGGTGTCTGCACTGTCATCAAGGATTGAGGTTGATATGTTCATTTTCATATCACTAGGACGTAGTTTTCAAGAGACAAATCTGTCATATGGTGGGAGAGGGAAGGACACACACTGCCTTGTTCAAGATTAAAAACTTCTGTTAATGTGACTAATTCTTAGTCACATACCTGAGACAAGGTTCTATATTAGACTTAAAATTCATGTGAAGGGAACATCCATAATTTTGGCAGGGGTGGGTATTCAGTGCATTTTTCAGGGATGAAACTCAGAAGAACAAAGAAGGTCAGTTTAACCTTGTGGTTGTGGTTATGAATGAGCAAGGAAGTTTAAATTACACTGAAGGACAGCTCCTTTAGTCACAGAAGCCCATAGTGCACTCTAGATCCTTCACAAGTAAATATGAGCACTTTGTGTTTTTACAGCAATAAGCAAAATGCTAAGACATAATGATTAGATTGTTCTTTAGCTTTGCTGATGGTGAAGTTCCTTATTGGCTGCTGAAGATTACAGCTCTGGACCAGGCTATAAACAGAACAGCCAGGCATTTTTCACAAGTGTAACACAGTGGGCTTTTAGCAGAGCTCTCTCCTGCTTCCTCATCGTTTTAAATGGCAAGCATCAAGCATAAGAGAAAAAGCTAATTACATTTGTGTTTAATCCATCCAACAGCTCATTTGAAATAGACTGGATTGTTTCACATGTCTGGCTGAATTCAGCAAAAGAAGTGGATTCCTTTGTAAGTAACTGATACATCATGCACAGGATTGCTTGGACATTGATCCCTGCAATTTCTCCAGTGAACTTTTCTATTTCAGACATATGAACACTGATGGCTTAGATTCCCTGCTGCACTGCTCCTGGCTCACCTTGAGATCAGCTACACTTCTGATTATTCCTGCTGCTTCCAAAACCCATCTCTTGCCCTACAGCCAACACTGCAGCTCTGTCTCATGAAATGCCTGTTCAGAGAAATCCCCAGATGTGGTTTAGAGCTGCTCTCTGCCACTCATGTGCCCTGGTGCTTTGCTGCCTGATGCTGGTTGAGTGTAGGTGCTTGCTCAGCGATAGTGGCACCATCCAAACCTCCTGGGGTTCCTCTGCGAACTTTATCTAAATTGTTCCAGGAGCCTTTGACGGACTCACTGAAGCCCTGTTTAGTGAATAATAGGACATTTCCCACTGCTTCACCTGGCATCTGCTTTCATTAAGTAAGATTAAAATTTTCCTCAGTAATTTAATCAGAACTTTAAAAAGCCTGAAGTCTGTAATGCTCCTACTGATTTATGCCACCAGTTTTAACAAAGATCTGAATCAGACCTTTAATCTTTATTAGTCAGGTGATTAAGTACAAAATTATCTTCTGGGACTAAGAGCAGATGTCCTACATTTACCAAAAATTAGGAAGAAAACACACTTGTGTTTCAAATGGCATCTCATATTATAAGTGGAAATTTACCAAAACATGTAACTGTACATTGAAATGGTGGGGCCACCCTGTAATAAATAATGTGCAAAAAAAGGCCTTTTGTGAAGAGAAACTGCACTTTGGGCATATTCTTATTATTACTTAAACCTAAAGTCAACCAAAAGAGAAAACTCTCGCTGCCAACTGTGACAGACTGCAGCACTGCACTAACAGGAAGGCTATTTTAGGTCTGAATTGGGAACTGGATTACTTATTCAAACAGTAGTTTTCAAAACTGCAAGACTGTGTTCTTGTTCCCTTTGCAGCACGTTTCCAACTGTATCCTATTCACTGCACAGTTTCAAAGGACTGTACCTTTGCTATATATACACACACACAGCACCTTGGCTTCTGAAATTGGTTTCCCTCAATTTCTGGTTGGTTTGAACAACCATGACTTGTTTCCCATGCATCTATTTCAATAACATCCCAGCAGATGACAGCAGGCAGCTTGGACCAGGCTTCAGATCAGCCTTCGGAACAGCTGCCAGGAAAAGGACAGTATTTCTGAGCTACAGATGGGTACACTTAATGTGGATGTCACAGTTAGGTTCATGCTACAGCACCAGATACCTTTGGAGATTTCCATGAGCTTTGAGTTTCCTTCTTGGGTTTGCTGAAGTCACTGGAAGTTGTGCTACCAACTTCCTGATGATTGGTGTATCTTGGATTACCAGTACAGACATTCCTCCTTTTGTGGAGAATGAAAGAATTTTGCTGCTGAAGAACATCCTTATACTAAAGGATTTTTGTTTATTAATAATAAAAAAATTGCAATAGGGCATAAGATAATCAATAGAGATGTAATTTAGATGCTGTTTACAAGGCAAATATTAAAAGGTGCTTTTGACACTGAGCTGTAGTTTGGAGCAGGATGAGGTAGTGAGACAGAGTCTTCTTTGAACCTCTTGGATGGCAAGGGCAGCCAGCCAGTTCTTCCCAGCTGCTGGAGAGGTATAGGTGCTTCCTCTCCATAGGGAGGATGTATTCCCCCACATCAGGAGAAATATGGTCATGTCCTTGGACAGCAACAGAAAAAAATTCACTCACATAACACAACATACTCCAGTGAAGGCCATTGCTACGTGTACTTCAGTGTCTCTAGAACAGTGGGCTGTCTCTAGAACTGAAGCTGGGCAGCCTTGGCATGATGGAAATTGTCTGTTTGAGAGGCTGTCTGTCCATGGCTGCAGATCCAAAGCCCTCCTTGATCTTCCACTGCTCTGCCTTGCAAGGATAATCCTCGGGGGAAAGTTCTGCTGCACTTAAATGAAACTTGACTTGCACATTACTTGTTCAGACAAACTACAAGTACAAATGACTCATCATTTCCCTACTTTGTTTTGCCTGTTAGGCAGCCATCAGCATTTACATCACAATTGATTATAAAAGAGTAGAAGCGAAGTAGCAGTTCCAACTTTGCCCCTTGTGAGTTACTACAGGAAATTTGCAGTCCTCCCCCAAATTCTCCACCTTAATGTCCTCACTTTGAATATTCAAGGAGAAAATATTTTGAGAGCTCTTAATTTCTAGGCATTTCTTGCCTGTGACATTTTCTCTGTTCAGTGGTATTCTTTGGCTTCCCAGTCCTTATCCTTACAGTTTTGGGGGAATAATAAAAATGATGATGTACTGTGATAGGCAGATTTTTTCTGTTTCATGTCTCAGAAGGCCAAATAAAAAGGCTTCCTCCTGTTTTACAATCCCAAGGGCTCAAAGCATAATTTTCTTCAAAAGTTTCACTTGAGAGATTTTGTGTTAAGAAGACTACAGGTGCCAGGATTTTAATGCATGTACTGTACAGGAATTAAGCGCTGGTCATCCTGTGCAGATGCTCCTCAGCTTCCCCTGTCACACAGCACACGTGCATTAGTAATACCTGGATAGATAAATATGTGCACACTCACACCACTGGAGCACTGCACTTGATTTTTCTGAAGGCACCCAATTTGTCAAGAAACCCAGAAGAAGCTGACAGAAAGTGCCAGCATCTTGCCATAAACAGCAGCTGAGGAGGGAAAGAGAAACTATGGTTGGGAATGAGAAATCCCAGCAGCAGCTTCACTTTCTGTCGACAATGAGTTGGTGCCTTAAGAATATCCCTGTGCAGGGGAGGCACAGGAGAGAGCTTAAAAGGGGCAGAAGGCATCAGAGCTGAAAGAAGGAAAGCAGATGTCACAGAAACGGGAGATGTCTGGAAATCATATGATTTATTAATGTTAAAGCCAGGTCTAGATCAGGGTTGAGCAGACTATGAGTCCCTGTTATGGACTGTGTCATAGTCCTTGTCTTTGTTAAAGTGTGACTTAGGACACCTTGCTTGGAGGCAGCTGTCTCAGCAGGCTCCTGCAGTTCTAGGAGTGTAAGACACAATTAGATTGTTCTTAGGAGTTCAAGACACCATGATTAGATCCATCCCCACCTGCTTCCTCCTTCCATCTCACCTCAAGCCAGCATCCCTCACTCCCACTGGCAGGTTGGGCGGGTATCCCCAGGGCTGACTCACTGCCATGTCTCTCCAGTGCTCCAGCAAAACGTTTTGGGAGCTACTGAACAAAACAGAAGTGCAAGTGAAACACCAGGAGCCTGTTCTTGACTTTAGTGACTGTGAGCAGTAAAATATGATAATGGTATTAGTAATAATGCATTTCTGTGCATTTGCTACTGTAATTTTTCCTAATTAAACAAAACAAGTTAATTAAATGTGCAAAAAAAAAAAAAGCATTTTACTAATTTTCCATCACAAATGATCATTGCTTGTACTTAATGGTCTTGGATAAAAGCCACTTAAGAAAAGGAAAAAAACTGTGTGTGGGCAATGCTGTAATATTCCATCCCTGGGTTTGCTTCCTCTTCTTTTTTTTTTTTTTTTTTTTTCCCTCTGAACAGCAAAAATTTAGCATTTTATTTTCTTTAAATAATCCTTCTTGCTGTTGGGACAACTCCCTTTTAAGGCCAGCTTTTTGCTCAGAGGGAATGTTGACTGCACTTATAAACACCCACTTCCTAGGGTTTAGAATAGCAACAGCAACATAACCTGAACTATAGTTTCAGCAGCATGCAGCAAACACATTCAGGCTAAGGCTGGCCTAGCAGCTTTTTCAGGAAAGCTTCAGAAGTCTTGGCAATGCCACTGAGTTTTTATTTGCCATGCTCACAAATCCTCATCTTTGAAAACCTCCTATCGTTCTCCTTTCTTCTTTGAAAGTGTAACCTTGTGGTTCTTCCAGCCCCTAAATATATAGTGAGAGTTTTTGGATGGGGCAGTAAACACTGAGGCAGGAAAATTCTGCCCCCTTTATAACTCAGGAATTTTAGGTGGGTGCAAACTGTGATCATGAGGAAGATTTCCAAGAACTACACTGAGGACCAGATTTCACCATATGTGTATTCTTCCCAAAATAACCACTTTATCTCCAGGGAAGGTTGCAAAAAAGCCTAATGACTTTTCAGCTGCTAGACTGTCATCCCCAGTGTAATTCACTGAAACCCGGTTAATTAGCCTTGTACTTTGGAAGAAGATCTGGTGCAACATCATAAAAATAATTTCCCACTTCAACGCTGAGCACTGCAGTTAAAAAAAAGTCCAAGAAGATCAGACATCAGAAGTACAACCTCCAGAAGTACCAGTGACTTCCAAATATACCCTGGGCTTATATGGCATTAACACTGAGCCAGGGAACAATACTGGTGTCGGATCTTTACTGGCCTCACAGGTTACTGCAGATACCTCAGCTTTCCAGTCATGCAGGTTTGGAATTGCTACCTGGTATTTAAGCTGTTGCCTGTGGATTTGTGCCACCTCTCAGTATTGCACACCATGATTCCCCTTTGCCTGGAGCAAGATGTGTAATTCCAGTGCTGCACCAGCTGAGCAGATCCCAGGGGACTGATGCTGAACTTGTTCACGTGGTGATAAATTAGGAGCAACTCCACTGCTGGTGGTGACACTGATACACACAAGCCTGGACTCGGGATCTTCATACCTATTGCAGGGTTTGGTTTCTCAGTTGATGGCTGGAAGGCTAAATGTAAAATGATCCACCCCCACCCTCCTGAAAAAAAAAAACAAACCACAAAAATATTTAAAAAACCAAAACAAAACCTCAACACATGGAAACACATCAAAAATGTGTAGGGATAGGGGGGAGGGGGAATCCTTGCTGAACACAAAACAATCTTGTGCCAAATGAGTTGTCATGGCTTTACTATAACATTCCCACAAAGAGGAACAGAATTTTCTTTATTGTGAAATCTTCGTTGTGAGTCTTGCTGCTCCTGGGAAAAGTCATATGTCAGAATAGAACAGTGTTTCCAAATATGACTAGTCTGAACAGATAAACAATGAATGTCAACACAGCACTCAAGGAAGTATCTAACTGTAGTTAAATCCCCTTCTGAGTTTATATTCCTGTTCTGAGAGTGTTACACATAATGAACACCCATAGAGGTGCTTGTCTTTGTACACCAGACCTTAATAAACTCCAATTAGTGTTCCTGGAGTCCCAGTTATGGACAGCCAAAGCACCAGCTGTGTCTGAGAGCACCCTGCAGCATTATCTGCTGAGGTCTGAACTTTATATTCCATTTTCTTACGACTGTGTGGTGTGTAAGAGTCAGACAAAATTAATACTGTTGTTCACTTAGGTTTTTAACTGACTAAAAATCTGATGAATTTTCAGGTATAGTCTCTTGACCCTCCCACGTTTGGAGTGGGGGAACAGTCCTACTCCCACTTTGGCTGTTCTGGGGCAGGGAGCAAGTAGCAAAGTTCATAGAACCACGAGAAAGCAGAAGGAAAGATTCCAGTCCTGTGCCCTCTCCCATCACAAACACTGGGACCAAGTCCATCTCGTCCTTTAACAGAGGTGAAAACAAAATGCACTGTTAGGAGGAGGTCCTTGAGAAGCAAAACACCACTGTAATAGTCCTGCTCCTGTGGCTGCTGCAGCCAGGAGCTCTTTAATCAACATTTAAGGAGCAGGCTTCCTACCTCAAGCCACCCTTTATTTCAGTCCTGTCTGCTTTGACCACTAAATCACAGCTGTGTTTCTACTCTTCGGGTGTATGAACTTCTACTTCTTTGAAGCACAGCAATTTACTTTATTAGGGGAATGCATCCCCCTGCTGCCCATCAGTCTAAAACTCAGGGGTCAGGACAGTCCACAAGTGATAAATTTTGGTCTCCCACTTCCCTGGGTTATATTCATATTTATATAGGCTGTGTCAGTAAAGACAAGAACTCTCTCTTCTGATCAGCATTCAAAGCCTTCCAAAACTCAGATCCTCTCCTCTGCCTTCCAACTTCTCTTAAATAAAGGCAGCAATGACTTTCAGTTCTCTGCAGGTTTTTCCCTCAGGGCTGAGAAGCTAGTCAGGAGAGGCAGCATTTTAGACTTCCATTCAAATCTGATTTTCACATGGAGAAGGGGGGAGAAAGACTGGCTTTTAATTTCACTATGCCCAAACTCTGCATCTGAGAAACAGGGATGTTACAGGGCAGATGAAGATCTGACACACTTAAAACATGCATTCTGGACAGCAACTTTCTTTTGTGGTCCCACAACACAGCAAAAGTTTCAATCCAAGAGAACACATTAAATCACACTGCCCTTGTTGTTAGGGGAGAACTGAAGGGAGTTTGGCCACTGGAATGGTTTTGTTTTTCGTAACACTGCTAAACACAAAGAAACCCAGGATCTTGGCAGCCCGTTCCACCATGTAAATCCATGTCTTTCTAAATTACCAGAAAGTTCACTTGAGGTCAAAATCCTCCATAAAAATTTGGCTTCTGAAATACCTCTTAACCAGTACCTCAAATCCTTCTTTTAGCATTATTCACCCCAGGTGAAGATAAAATGGGGATGGCCTTTGAGAAGGACATAAAAATTTCAGGGAACTGATAATGAGACCAATGTAGCAATAACTGAGAGCAGTTAAAACATCTATCACCAGCCAAGTCACACCCAGGGTGGCTGTCACAGCCAGGAGGAACTGGGTGGCTGAAAGGATCAAGAACCTTCTACAGATTGGCCATTCAACAACAGGTAGGGCTCACACTCACATCTGTCTGTAAGTAAACAGAGGGAGACATTAGGAAGGGTTTTTGTAATTCCTAATCCTACACCCCCTGAGTCGGTTCTGTAGTAACCATGACAAATGCTGCCACGGTGCTTTGCAGCAGTTGCCTGGGCTCACAGAGGTTACAAAACACAGTGGCAGGTTTGTTTATTTTCAAATTCATTCATTTTTGGCTTGTTGCTGCAGTTACAAAGTTCTGGTAGTTTTGGCTGTGCTGCCGTAATTATAAAGTCTTTCATGTGGATGTTTTGCATGTAATTACAGTTATCTAGAGTTCTCCACAGATGGGTACAAGGCACTAAGTCCATGAAACAGAGAAGGTGTGCTCGAGGAAAGAATAGCAGCTCCTGGTCTCAGCATACAGAGTGTTCAGGTGTTGATATTCTTCTCAAAACAGGCTCAGCCCACTTGCCTAGACTATACAAGCAACCAGGGAACACTCACAGGCAAACAGGAAGAAAAATGCTTGAAGTGTCTGGTATAGCACACATGTCCAGTGGAACAGTATTCTGAATTTCTAGAGGTGGTGAAAGAGAAAATGCAGATCCAATCCTTCCTTCTACAAGATAAAACAGGTTAAAAGAAAGGGAAAGTTTTCTACACTTTTTATCAACCCTTCCCTCACATCTTCATGATGCCTGGCCCCTCTAAAATCCTCAGCTAGTCAGCCAGCCTTGGAGCACAGGAAAATTATCTACCTAATGAAAGGTAATTTTCCTTCCTAATGGTAGGTAGGTAGGTCCCTTCAGAACTCAGCACTCTGAAGAAAACTAAGCTGTAAATGATAATGAACAAATTGATATTATAAGTGGGCCCCCTGCAATTCACTTCTCTTTCTGGAATTAGTGTGCAAGTATTTCAGAAGATACTGCTTTCTTGCAGCTAAAAGGAACTGGAGATTCACCATATTAGTGATTCTGCAAGTGCCTTTAGATGGGAGAATTAACACCTACAGCAGGCAACATGATTGACTTGCATCACATCACCACTACCTTTCAGGAGCTTGACAGACACTAATTTTGGAAAGGTGTTTTGCATGGAAGACTGGCATTCAGAGCACATGGAAAATTAAATACGTGCGGGTGTTACTTAGCAACCTACAGAACAAGACTTTCAGAGCAGATAGAAAAATTACCAACTTGAAAGGATAAAGTTTGCTAATGTGTAGCAGCAGCAACTGCTCTTCAAAGCTTCAAACTAAAACTCACCGCTGTACAACCAGAGCCACACAACTGCCTTAGAGCAGTCTCCTAAAACTATTCAGCATTTTCTGTGGGCTACAACTAGGAACTGTAAAGCCAAACATTAGGAGAAAAATGCCAGCATTCAACTGGATTCTCAAGGCCTTCCACAGTTTTGGTTAACTGCTTTTACGAGTAGCTGGCTAGCCAGGGACAGGACAGGTTGAGAAATCATAGGGCTCTCCAACGCCAAGGACCACTTGAGCTGAACACCTCTTCAGCAGAGGCTTGTTTTGCCAACACCCACAAGCAAGGTCCCATTTTTCAGTTTATTGTACAAAGCAATACATCACAGTACAAACAACCCCACAGGCAGACAGGCCCTGTAGCACTGCACACAAGCAGCGCTGTGCCACAGGATTTGTGCTACAACCCTCTGTGAGAAGCCCAGAAGACATCTGACAAAGGAGACAGGGTTGTTCAGCTTGCTTGAACAGGAGAGCAGAGGGAGATTTACAGAGTAAAAATGCACGAGCACACCAACATCATTCAACTCAGACACCAAAGCACATTGTGAAGAGGGCACTTCTGGTGAGGAGTCCCAGGTGTGTTTATGCTTTTGGAAAATGCTGGCTCATGGCAAGGGAAAGGAAATGCACCCGCTGGAAGGTCTCCAAAAGACTGCTCTAAACCCTCAACACCTTCCTTCTGCCCTGCCCTTCCACAGGTAACTCCTCAGGGAATTCCTTCGTGCTGAGTGGAGCTGGGGAAACAGCCACAACCACACAGTCCCCAAAAGCAGCTGTGCACAGGAATCAAAATCTGCTCAATTACCCAGGACAGCAACAGAAGTCCAAATTACAGGTTTCCATAGTTTAATTACAAGCCACCTATCCAACGGATGGAGCTCTCCCATTAGGAATGGCTGTTCACACTTTTGGTCAATTAAAGCAACCCAGTCATTATTCTGTTCTACAAAAATCATAGTTCTGAGTTTTAGTGTCCCCGTCTCAGCTTTAATATTGGTTACTGCCATTTCAGAAACTTAATGACTGCAGGGTTGTTTGGATTTTTTTCTTTTTTAAGAAACTTACAGAATGTATTTTCTGCTACCATGTACTGATAGGGAAGGATATGCTGCAAATACAGCAAGGTTGGGATAAATGTACCCTCTCCATCTTGATTTGCATAGAAAGAATAAACATAGCCAAGAAAACAAAGCTTAGAGTCTACAGAAGTATTTGTCACAGAATAGAGAAATAGTAGGCAGCAAGGCTTTCCTAGCAGTTATCCGGAGCCAGAAAGTAAAAATATTGTTCTTCCTGCTATTAAGATTTAAATAGATATTCAAGTCAATTGTAAAAGCAAGTCAGAGGATGGGAAGAAATATCAGTGTGGGAAGATATTACATAAACTGAGATGCAACTGAAAATAGAAAATTAGGAAAGTACTGTGATCCTCTTCAATCTACAGGTCAAAACAGACCCAACTGCCACTATTATCTTAGTTCCCATTATTTGCTTGGGCAGGAAAGAGGGAACATTAGGGGGAAATCAAGTCTGAATGCCAAACTCCAAGCTCTGCATTTCGAAGGGATATAACCAAGATTTTTAGCAGCTGTATTCTCACCATTTACTGCCTTAAATATCATCCTATTCCACCCCCTGCCATGGGCAGGGACACCTTCCACTATCCCAGGCTGCTCAGGGCTTTTTCCAACCTGGTTTTGAACACTTCCAGGGATGGGGCACCCAAAACTTCTCTTAGCCACCTGTGCCAGGGCCTCACTCCCCTCCCAGCAAACAGAAGGGGCTGTGAAGAGAGGGACAGCTCTGACCAGGCAAGAGCCTTGGTTTCACTTTCCTGTCTGAGGAACAACCTTCACACCTTAGCCAGGTCTCACATTCATGAGCATCACAGCAGAGAAACATCATGAAAATATAGCCATGGGTATTGTTGGGAGCACAAGCACAAAGGCAGTGCAAACCCTGAGAACCTCTCTAAGGTTGAACAGGTGGAAAACGTTATGTCACAGATCCAGTTTCTTTCACTGAAGCTGAAGAAGGACTTGTGGCTGCAGTTAGCAGCAGTTTAACCAGGAGTAAAGGCACCCTCAGCAGGGGAGAGGAAGGAAGAGTCATGCACTTATGCCAGTTTCACTGAAATCCATACAGAAGGAACAAAGAACTAAAAAAAAGAAAAAAAAATAACACAGTAGGAAGAGTAACCACTTTTACATGCTTCCATTAGCTATGCTAGACACTGAAAACAAAATAAGAACTTCAGAGTAAGGTAACAGAGCAAAGTGCATGGGTTTTTTCCTTTTTCAAATTTTTTTTTTTTTATTTTAAAGGTGTCCATATACAAAACCAAGTAGCATGACAGAAAAATAAGAGGAACCAGAAGTACCTGCCCACAAAGGGGATTTCAACATGGTAAAGTTTAACTGAAACACAGTGGGGAAGTGAAACTGAATAGGAGAGGGGTTTGATGCTAAATATTAGGTTGATCTGCTCTTCAATTATTTATGGTGTTTATCATATATACAGTTGGGGCAGATGTACCTTATTCTGAGTCCTTATGGTCAAGGTGAACAACCATAAACAGAGGAAAAGAGCTATGCAATAAAAGCTGTTGATACCTTAATGCTGCTGAAGCTGAATGAGCCACAAAAACACTGCAGAGAGTAACTTATTACCACTTTTAGGAACATTGTGCATATGCTGGTCAGGACCTGGGAGGTTCTATGGAATGAAACATCACTCACACCTCTGAGAATGTGCCAATTAATTTGAGAAAAAGACTAAAATATATCAAAGTCCCTACCAATTCTGCAATATCAGAGATGCAGATGCTAACAGGCTGGCACTGAGGAAAACATAAAGCAAAGGATAAATAGTTGTTCAGCCTTCACAAGCAGTTTTCAAAGCTATCTAGACAATCCACAGTTATTTCAATAGGGAGTGATTAGCTGTGCCAACTACTGGCTGTTGGTAATTGTACATTTTTACTTATAGTACAAATGCATCCGTGAATGTGGATTTATGAGAGCAGTCAGGCTGACAAGTATTGAGGGGCTGTTTGCGTAAGACATTGTCCCTTTATAGGTCCAAACAACCTGGTGAAAACCTAAGGTGGTTATAAAAAACAAGAAAAGACACAGTTCTTTGCATGAGAAGTTTTATTCATCTTAACAAAATACACAGTTTTTAACAGGAACACTCCCTCAGGAGCCCTTTGGCCCCTGAGTATTGCCCTTCCAGAGGAAGGATTCTGGATGTCTGCTGATCTAAAATCACATTTTGTAAAGTCCAGACAAACCATCCATTCCTTCACACTGAGCAGCAATCACAACCCTCCTGATTTCCATGGGGAAATGGCCCAGAGCTCAGCAGTGCAGGGTTAACAGCACAGACATGTGATTTACAAGCTTCCCCATTTACTGCTGTGACTGCAGACCAGGTCTGGAAGGACAACAGTCCCCTGCTATTCCAGGCCTGATGTTCTCAAACTGAAACTGCCCTTTTTTCACTGTGTGGTGGGTATGATGCACAAGTAAAGCATATTAGGTTTGGTACCACTAAATGACAAGAGATCCAGCTGGAATCAGCACTCAAGACATTATCTTATTCCTCCCCAATTATTCCTAGGCACTTTCTGTATATAAGTCACACTATACACAGCATACTTTCAAAAGTCAGGCCTATAAATAGCTCCCCACTACTCCCTTCTCCAAAAAGAATTCCATAACTGCACAGCACACACATATATAGCTTTCCATCTGAAGATTTTTGAAAGGAAAAAAAAGTGAAACACCATTACCAAGGGAAACTAATGGATACTCAGAAAGCAGGCATTAGTTTCCGCCTGACATCTACTCACGGGCAGGTGTCTCCACACTTCAATTCCTTGAAGTTTTATCTTCTTAACTAATGTCAGATCTACCCTGTCTCCAAACTCTAGTTGACACCAGCTGGATCCCTAGTGTGAGAAGAGAGGGGGAGGCAGCAACTGGACATGAATTGCACTGTCTTCCTCAGAGACACAAGGGAGGTAACTTGACAAAAAAAAAAAAATTGTAGATAACCCTCCACTTTGTATTTCCAGGCAGCTGGAAACCCAGCAGACAATGTAGCTGTTGCTTAACAAACACAGAAATCTACATTGTATGCCAGGTTCATGCCCCAAACCTGGACAGTCTTCACACAGAACTGATAAAAACCAGCTGTGCACACCCAGTTCACAGTACGGTTTCCTCCCCTAACACGCTGGAGGTATGCAATCAGCAAAGGTGCTTCAATACTTTCCCTTCGCAGGAGAGGCTAAAGATCCTTTACTGAAAAAAGTGAAGTCCACCGATCTTCTCAGCTCAAATCTGCAAATATTCTCATGGGTTTTGACTACTGTAAACCCCAGAACTAGGCTACAGAAAAGGCTGTTGCTTTCCAAGCCACAACATCCAGGTATTTTATCTGATTCCCACTATGAAGCAGATCCAACAGATATCCAATCCTTTATTTGGGGCCACACCTCAGGAGTTAACTTGTTTGCACTGTGAACTTGTTCTGCACCCAGGAGAGAAGACACAAATCCAACAAAAAGTCTAGACAGAGGTAGGAGATGTCATCAGAGACCCAGTAGCCAGATGTAGCTGCTGATTGTAAAGACAGAATCTACACTGACTACTGAGCGACTGATGGGCAGCTACAAGTTCTGGGTTGATTGATCCACAGCATTAATCCAAAACGACCTGCAGAAACAATCAGGAAAAAAAAATTAAAATCAGTATGTGAAAGAGTTCTGTAGATTAGCCTTTGTAAATAAAGAATTTTCCACCATTGGTATCACACAGATTTCATGTGGACAGCAAACAGAAAAGTGTGTTGCCAGAACAGTCACCTCAAGTATGCAGTCATTGGCTTTTAGAGTTAAACAGTACTCACAGTGTTCCTGCATCTTTATTCTGAAATAAACTGTTTCATTTCCAGGTACTAGTAAAGACCTGCCCCCAAAAAGCCAATAATAAGAAATGCTCACAAACATGAAGTAGAATAATAGCAGAACCAAAGTCACGTTAAGTTTCTTCTTAATCCTCCAACAATATTGTACAAAATGACATGAAAAAACCCATGAATTATGAAAAACCACGCTGTTGTTGGTCTGTCAGAAAGAGCATCCAGTAAATAAAAGTAAATTTACAGGCATAGAGGCAATCCCAGAACAGTAAAACATATCCCTCATTGCAGTGGGGAAACAACTACAGCTCCTGTGTAATTTAGCAGAGACAAGGAAAGACTTGGAGTCAATTTCTATTAGAAATCAGTCCAGCACATCAAGCCTTTGCATAAACATCTCCCATTCATGGTGGTTGGAAATTCTTCTGTCTCTGTTGTTAAATGAAGAAATCCCGGCTCCTCTCTGCCAGCTCAGGAGCTGCCCCAGCAGAGTGCAGCACATCTGAGAAAAACCCCAGTGGATTCATGCCCAGCTTGGTCTTTCATTGGTGGCTGAAATGTATTCCAGGTAACTCCTTGAACTCTTGCATGTGTTAAGATTTTCATTGCAAGAAATGTCATTTTTGGTAAAAAACAAACAAAAAATGCCCATCAAATTACAACTGTTCATTAAATATTTCAAGTATTTGTTTAAATAAAACATTTATCTGGGAACTCTGAGGACTTTGTATTGCATCTCACGATGCTCCAAGCGGTTGTGCACTGGGCGGCGATGGAAGAGAGGGAAGAGAGGAGCGGCCGTCCCCCTGCGAGCTCTGCAACCCCAGGTACCCCATGGATCGGTGTGGGGACAGATGGAGGCGACATGGAGCTTTGGGTGCTCCAGAGGGGGTTTATTAGGTGGAGAAAATGGAGCCCAAGACCAGCTTGGGAGAGCAAACAGAAGGTTTCATACAGAAACTCAGGAGGAGGGGTGTAGGAACAACAATCAATAACTGGGGAGGGGTCTAAGGTGGGACTAACATATCAAATCTATCAGGGGAAATAGGGGAGTAGAATAACACAAAGTAACAAATGGGGTGTAGAGTAACTAAATGGACAGGGAACACTCTGGAAGAATGGGAGGGGAGTAGAAGGAGTGACAGGGAATGTTCTAGGGAAAGCAAGGATTGATAACTTGGAGGGGAGGAGGTTAGGGAAGAGCTTGGAAAGATTGGCAACTGGGGAGGGGAGGAGATTAGGAAGGAAATGAATGAATATTGAACAAACATCAATTTAAGGCAAAAACACACCACAACAACTTTCAACTTCAATTACAGAGTATTTTAATAGCCATCAGCCTGCCAAGTGGGTTTTTTTTCCCCTTTTTTAAACACAGAAGCAAAACTGTTTAAAGTCAGTCAGTCTTACTAAGAATTTAAAAAGTGCTCAAAAATTATTAAAAATACATTATCACTAATGTTTGACTTGATTACAGCAATATCAGCAGTGATTCAAGACTGGTCAATTGCAAAGTAAGTAAGAGAACACCTTGCTGTCAGATACTTCTGGAAGAGTGGTAGTCACTATGCCCCCATTTTAATATAACTATGTAGGCACTGCTGAACTTTTTTCCCACAACATGGTTTCACAGATAGCATTTATTAATGATGAACAAACATTATTTAGCCATATTTAGCCTCTGGAGCTTGCAGAACAGGGAGGTTTCCCAGGAACAGGTACCAGAGGCACGAGAGCAGCAGCACTGAAGTTGGGAATTGGACACTTCTCTGCTGGAGCAGAGATTTGCACAACTCATTCACTGCAACCTGTCCACTTCTCCCTCCTTCTGCAGGCAATAATCCCAGCCTTCAATCCTCCTCAAGACAAGCCACCATAGCCCACTGCAGTATTGCCACTATGCTGCAGCTTAGAGCTAAAGCCATTTCCAACCTCAGAGCACAACACCCCCAGCCTCCCCCTCAGCCAGGGCCTGTCAGTATTCAGGAGGCAAAGGATCATCCCTCCCGAAACAAGGAGACAGCTTTTCCACCACAGGCACTTTGGGCTTGGGGCCACTCAGAGGAAGTATCTCCCCTTCCATCCTCAGTCAAGCAGTTGCTGGAACAAGCCAGAGACAGCACAGTCACTGTGTCTTCAAGGAGAGGCCAAGAGGCTCAGACAGCAGCTTTATGAGACTTTTGGTGGTACAAGTGTTATTTTTAAATTAGAATATTTTATTTTAATGAAAAAAACTTTATTTGTTACATTATCAACTATTCTGTCATTTGTGAGTTTTAGCCAGAGCACCTGTAAGAGGAGAAGTAAGGTGAGGGGATGAGCACAGCAGTGAACCCAGATATCACCCTCTGGTTTAGGGCAGGTGATGCTGAGGGGCAGCTGTTGAGTAGTTTTGTAAGGACCCCATGACTTCTAAGGGTGTGCATTGCACTCAACTTTATCCCAGCCCTAAGCAGGCCAGCAGGAAAAAGTCCCTCAGATGACAAAAGGTTGGGCCACTTCAAATTCAGAGCTCCTGCAGGAAGGGAAAGGGAGGAGGTTTGTGAACACTTCAGAGATGCAGGAGCTCTTTGCACATATGCAACCTGAAGCCTCAAGCTGTACCATAATCCTGAGCAGTGCCTGGGTTTGGTATTTGTGCAGACAGAAGTCTCACTGCTTCATGAAAGCAAAAAATACCAAGTTACTGAAAAAAGCCCACCATCTGTTATCATCTAAATCCAACAGGCAAAGCTTTGACACTGGTGAACTGTTTTAATATAAAGGTTTACTGCCAAAAAAAGCAAGATGCAACTGAACCCATCACCATATCATGCTAAAATTAGAAAAAAACAACTGGATGTGTGTTGTGCATGAAATACAAAGGCAGGTGATCAGAAAACGTGTGAATCACCTCCTAACAGACCCACACCTTTACTTGCTGAATCCAGGTATGTTTAATATGACTGAATGATCTTCAAGTGCATCAGTCAGGGCTGGAAACACAACAGAGGCATAGGCCACCATTGTTTTTCTGGTTTGGATTAAACATTTAACTTTGAAAATCAAAGGTCTAGATGTGGAATTGATAGGAAAGGGAACAATCAGGTAGGTTCTCATCAAACAGCTCTGCTGTGAGAGTCACACATTCTAAGCATAGGGACGGTACTGACAAGCATTAAAATCTGTAACGAAGCAGGGGAAAGATATTCAGTACAAATATTTTGGTGGGTGGGGAAAGGAAGAAGGGAAATACCAATTACTTGTGTTTGGACAATAGCTCTTCCCATGAAGCTACTGAATCTGGTAAAATGTTTTTGTCCTAGGCAGTACAGCCACTGGTGTCAAGTGAACTGATCACAAAGAAATAGATGCCATTTTACTGTTTTTTTTTAGAAGCCATACCGTGATATTTACTAGTGGGGAAGCTGGATACTTTTAATAAAAACAGTTTTTAAAAAAATCATTACCTGGATGCCAGCTTCAGTAACTTCCCAAACAAAAGCAAGCCAGCATCCCTGCAAGTCCAGAGATGACAGTTTTGCTGAGATTTAATAAAGCCATCACCAAGGACAGCCAAAACACATAATTTAGTGCACTGGCACTGCAGTTGAAGAAATATTTCCCCATGCCTAATGCACAACACAATGGAATTTCAGCATTTACCAAGCATGCCAAGAACTTCTAATTACCTAATATGAACTTAGGCAAAGAGCCATTCTGTCTTAAGTTCTGAATTCAGTAAAACAGATCAGTGCATTGTTTCACCCGAGTAGGCACAGAGTTTATAAAGGAAATTCACAATCTTGGAGTTCAGCTCTGCACTGCACTACACACCACTTAACAAAATGGGAAAGTTAATCAAGGCATTAACTTTTCTTTCTTAAGAGCCCACAGTAATGACACAGAAGGTGAAACATTAAATACAGGTGTCCAATTAAAACTCATTCTCACACACATGAATTCCTCTGCAGTTACATAATTATGCCAGAGCCAGGATATCTCTGCAGCAAAGCATGTTTTCAGTGATCCCAGCTCCTGCATACCTCAGACCCTGTGACTGTAGTGGTCAAACCCATTCAGACCAGCTGATGGTCACTTGACTCTCTGCACTATTTATACATTGCTCTATTAAACGAAGCTTCTGATTGGGCTGAATAGATTTATGAAAATCCTGCCCAAGACATTTCTTAAATTGCTTTGCCAGAGAGCACTAGTATGAGCAAGCCTAGGGAGGTACAGAGTTGGCACAGACTACTAAAACAATTTCCTAAAGGCAAAACCACTCTCATTCTCAAAGGCCAACCAACTAACTTGTTTTTAAAATCTGATTGCTGATAAATGCAAACACAGTTACCTTCAACCAGGACCTATTTTTGCACTGACCTCACAGACATAGCCTTTGAAGGATTTGATACAGATAAGAAACTGACTTAGCTGCAAAAATCCCTAAAGGATGCTGTAAATAATTATTTATTTGAGCATGCAAAAAATGACCAAGCCAAGCTGCAGACTAACTCAACATACATTTTACAGCCACAATAAAATGGGTCTCATAAGGAGTTGAGAAAACCGTTCATGAAATTGATGGAATAATCAAGACTGCAGCTTTGAAGAGTGGCAGAAAAACTTCCATGGAAGGGTATAAGCATGAGTAAAGATCCCTCAGCTAGGGGCTTCTGTATGCTAGGAAGTAATGAACTAAATTTCTATAATGCCTACATTAGGACCACACTGTTCTGCAAGTGAGTAACATTCAGTTGGCAGCTATTGTTAGTGCATGCTCATACTCCAGTGTATTGTAACTGTCCTCTGGATGGTAATAGAATGTGAGAAACTGAATAAACTTATTCATCAAATCACAATTTTATGAGCAGTAAGGTAGAATTTTATATAAAGGCAGCAAACAGTGCCAGTGAAATTTCTGTTTAGGCACATGGTGTTAAACAAACACCTTGCCAAAGGATTCCAGCTCTGTTTTTTACAAGACATATGGAAGGGAGTGCTGTGCACACGAAAGGTATTAGAGAAACACCCACGGCCAGACCTGCCTGCATGGACACAAACCAAACATTTCGAAGCATGAGGCAGGGTTACAGTGCAGGAGGCTGCAAGAGCACAGAAAGGTGAAAAAAAAGAGTGAAAAAACCTGCGTGTCCCAGGTTCCTCTCAGCAGTCACAGCCCCTGTGCCACTGCAATAGGTTTGCCAGACTTACTGCCCAGGAGCACTTTGGGAACACATCAGGGTGTAGAACACGTGCAGAACAGACCTACCCAGCCATTCAAGAGGCAAATAGCTGGTGCTCACAGCATATCAATACTGTTGTAGTAGGGATGTTCAGGATTCAACAGCCATCAAAGAATTATTTTATCAGTTTCTTAGCTAGCTTAATTCTCTTTTTCTAAACAGCATGCATGCACCTTGCAACAGCACACCCCCAGCATGCCAAATATCAACAATTTGAAGAGCAATGCAGCTGAAACATGAGCAGAAACTAAATGGGTAATCACAAAAGATTGTATTTTAGTGCAGATATGATTCAGCTGAAGACAAGACTAAATACTAATAAATCCTGATGCTGGGTGAAATTAGGCAGGCCTCTCTCAATACCCCTACAGCACATAATCTTTGATGGCTGGGCTCTGAAAGCCCTGCTATGTCCTTGCCATGCAATTCAATTCAAGCTATCACGTACTTCCACCCTCTATAGTACCTGGTCTGTGTGGAAAACAGGGGCCCTCATCTTTAGTAACACTAATTTATTCATGCTGGATACTTAACGTGCAGAAAATATCAGGGAAAGAAAACACCAGCATGAAATGGCAAGCACTTAGTAAACAACTGAAATCACACCAGGGATGAGACCAGCTTGGATGATCCAGAAGTTGGGTAACAAGCCACGTGCCAACAATTTCTAAGACTAACTCGCAGCACTGACAGTGTGATCCTTCTTTATCCTTCTCAAGGACCTACTTTAAAGATAATTACTCTTCTAAGTGCAGTTAGTACTTACTTCAGAGGAGAACAGCATTTGTGTTAACTTCACAAAACAAGGCACTTGATTAGCCAATTATGGAGGTGATGTTACAAAGCTACCTGCTCCTGTATCACACCCTAATATGCAACAGGAGGGTAGGGAATAAAAATTCATTCCCTCTCCTGTTGCCCACCATCTCCTACTTGTCTTCCTGTGAATTCAACTGGGGGAGGTAAACACACCCTCCCCCCTCCCTTTCAGCCAAGTGCAATATGAAACCTAAAATGTTTCTGGTCACTTGCCTGTGCTATAGGGAAAGTAACTCTGGTCCCCAAGCAGACCTGGGCAAGTGGAGAAAGAAAATAAAGTTACTACCTAGATAGGTGTTTTAAACCAATTAATCCTGTAGGATTATGAATCTGGGCTACAAGCATGGTTTGGGCATTGTGCCTTAAGAATCAGAGATACTCAGTTTATCCCTCCAAGCCATAATTTAGATGACAGTCACCTTTCTCCTCTCATAGGTGCTAGAACCAGCCCAAAAACCAGAGCAAGTCCACACAAGGTATCACAGCTATCTTACACAGCAGCAATCTTTACCCTGGAAACCCAAGGGGGCAACTTGTAAGTGTGTCAAAGAAAATGCAGAGTCTACAGCTTCAACAAAAACACATATATAGTCTTAAGGTGGATGCCAAAAAAAAAAAATCATCAGGGGACATTAAAGCACTCAGAAGTCTGGAAATCTGAACATAATGCCCAGACTACACTGCAGATGCAGCTAAGGTCTTCAAAAAAAGTGAAATTAAACCAGAATTGGTGTTTTAGATAAGTCTTCTGCAAATTACTTAGACAATGAAGCACCTTTCAACAACCAAAAATAAAGTTTGCAATTCTTCAAGTGTTAAGAAAGCTTTGCTAGGGACATCTGAAAGCCAAGGGCACATTTTATCTTGCCTGAAGATTATCACATGACAACAGCATGCTACTGTGCCACAGAGACCTAAATGTGTGTTTATCCCACAGCTCACATGACTTTGCTTCCTTTAGACCATAAACAGTGAAGAGAAATACGTTTAGCAGAAAAGCAACAGGTACAATGTACTAAGAAGTTTCCTAAAATAGGCATCTATTCTGCAGAACCCAGGGTAATATTTACTGGTGTTAAATTTGCATAAAGTAATAGTCACCAGCAAGTCACACGCAGGTTACAAACACCAATTCATGCAGCTCTAGATAGGCAATATTCTATATTTAACTGAGGAGAAAACAGGAATAGTGATGTGTAAGGGACAGTGGCATCAACGCTTTCAAAGTTAGTAAGATTCTTATTCCAAATTGGTACTCCCAGGAACACTGTGGAAGCAGTCACACAGTTCTAGCTTTACCAGCAGAGAAGTTTTAAAGCATACAGAGAATTAAGGATCCCTAGGGAAAAAACAAAACTGTGTTTTACTGAAACAACCATTTAAATGAAGACCCCCTGCTCCTTCCACATAAATCCACACACACTTCACTGGAGTGATCAGGTAAATAAGGACAAAACAAGTGCCTTAGCAAGGGAGAGGGATGGCTGTCAGTAGTGCTTCACCTTCTTTAAGCATTTCAGCAGAAAGGCCTGTTTGGACCTGGGACTGTGTGACACGGGCCACCAGCTGAGTTGGGTCATAAGGCCACTAACTAACTGAGTGACACATGCAAGTCAGAGCCCAGTGCCCTCTCATGCTTGACATCATACAGATAATTAAGAGGTAGCCAAAACATGGGGCTGCATCCATCAGTGCAAAAGCAGTTTGTACACAGGGAATGCTGATCACTAAACTTCTAGAAAATGTCACTGTAACTATGCTAAAAAGGCACAGAAGTCTAGGGTAAGTCTCAAATAAGATCCTGAAGAAAAACCACAAACCCACAATCTTAGTAGGTCAAAAAATTCATGTGAGCACATTATGATATTAAAATTTAACTTTGACTTTACCACTTTTTTTCAAAGGGGGAAATACAGAACCTGGAAAAGAAGACGGAACTTATAGAAATATTTTGTGCAAGTGATACAACTCCCACAAAACCGAATAGAGGAGGCACCAGCTGGAGAAGCTTCTTCTCTCATGGTAGATACAATCTCTAGGCTGTTTTACCCACTCAGAATCTTGCCAAGATTATCTTTCAGTTTTTCCGTAACATGGACTGTTTTTAGACCATCTCCAAGAAAAAGGCAAAAATTAGCCCAGGACTGTTGTGTAAGATGTGACTGGAAAGAACAGAAAAGTAACTCACTCAAGTATCCAATTAATTGGGATATCTCAAGAATCTCAGGAATACCCAAAAATTCAAAATATATCCAGGACAAACAAGAAGAAATATTGTCCTTCACCAAGGTGACCTTACAATGAAGAAGGCAAATTTATTCAGGGCAAGCAGTGACTATGGTGACAGGAATTCACAATATTGAGAAGAATAAGGACAAGAATACCAGTGGGTTTGAACAAGGCCTCTTGAAGGGAAATCCTGGATAGTATGGAATACCAGTAATATCTAATCTTGTATGGATTGCTAATAGGTTCAGGATATGGCAAAACAGCAGACCACAGCAATCATAAGGTGGTCTCACTTTTGAGCTGTGTATTAAACAGTATCTGCTACCAAAGCTTTGAGATTAACACCCCACCACAACAGTGTGTAGCAGCAGACAGTGATGAAACTCATTCTGCAATTTGAGAAGGTCTCTTGGAGAGTTATGAACACTGTGTTACAACAGCAGATTTAACTGGAGCTTCTCATGACATTCTTGATGTGGCTTGAACGAGCACTGCTTCAGGAGTGTGTGACCACAGGTTCCAAGTGGAGAACTCCACTGAAAAGCCATTATTCCTGGTTCCCAACACATGCTTACAACACCAGCTCAAAGCAAACTGTATTATAGAAACCCAGGCTATACCTGCCCTATTTCACCCAGTCTGACTTACTGCAATGCCCACTCATTAGCCATTGTTAAATTCAGCTAATTCATAGGACATCTATTCTAAACAAGCATTATCTATTCTTCCTCCTAGAAACACCTCTGCAGAGCAGGAGCAAGTCCTGGTCATTCCTCTGAGAAGTTTTAAGGGTTCTGTGGGATTGTTTGCTTTTTTTATTCCAAGTAATTTTAAGGTATTCAAGTACTAAATTAGCCACAGTACACTAGAATAAACAACAGAGCGTTTTTGAATCAGATCTACTCCAACTCAACAACTTTCTGCCCAAAAGGGCTTTTTCATAATCAGAGATGCAGCATGAACAGATGACAGCAGAATATTCTCTTAAAGGTATGGTTTTCAAGTCCAGGACAGCAGGGATGATCAAACAACCCAGAGACTTAGGGTACATCAGAACACTACAAGCATTTCAAAAGGGCAAAACTCAAAGCCAACTTAAGTTTGAATCAGGAAGCAGAGGACACAGACCAACCATTTCAGGTGTGTTTGCATCAATATTGTAAACGAGGACTGCACTGCAGAAAGGAGATTTGTTTCACTAGTGAAGTGGTCTCCATCTCTCTACAGCTGCAAGACACACTGACATAAGTGTGCCACTACATGGTTTGTTGGTCTAAAAAGAGACATATCAGTAGCAATCTCTGCAATAAGCACAGAAGATAAGTGGCAGAATTCTATATTCAGGCACAGTAGTTTATCTAAATGCAAGGTTACCTGGACAAGGAAAGTAACATTCACTGCAAAATACTGTACAACAGTCAGGAATGTGTCAGATGCATTACTGCAATTAAATTTAATCTTTGAAGCAAAGCCTTTAGAACTAGATTCCTATTACAGGTCAAGATGACATTGAGAAAACTTAAATTTAATAGAACTGAAATGTGGCCATATCAAATTCAGATCACACACTGCATACTTTTATTCCTAATATCAAATGAAGGAAATATTGCCTTTGTAGCATAACAGCTGTTAAAATTCTAAATATTATCAAAAAATTTTAAAAACACCAGGTAAATTTATACTGATAAATCATCAGGTAAAGTCTAGTTAAGCCTGACAGCTTGTAATGCATAGCAGTAACACAAGAACTACTATCAAAAAGCCAGTCTCACTCCTTTCTAAAGATGGGTGAGGAGACCCAAACAAAAACAGATGCATGAATATTTCTGATAGGCAGCAAGGATGACAGGCACCCTTGACTCTCCATTCTGTGTCTGCTAATGGCATGATCGGATTCAGAGTAAGTCTTTTTATCCCTCTGCCCATAAGAGATTCACAACTACTGATGTGAACACAAGGTAGTGCAACAAAAGTCCTTTTTCCTGTCAAATATTGTAAGGAAGGCTCAATGCTTTACTAATAAAGCAGAGTCACTCACAAGCTTCAGAGTTATGGATAACACAGCTTTTCCAGTCTAATTGTTTTGTAACTATACAGCAAAGTCAGCACTGAAAATATTGCACAGATTTCCAGAGAAGAGACCTGAGAATTCTGCCCTCCAATACAGGTTCAAAGCATTTTCCCATCATCTGGTAGCAGCATTTGCCTCTAAATGAAGAGTATGTTCCCATTTGGAGACTTGCCTTGCCATCCCACTGCAGCAGCCTTCCAAAGGCTCCCAAGGGAAGAATCTCCCTACTCTTGGCAGAGTGCCTCACACAGCATCACTGGATAGCTGGGAAATCCAGAGCAGTGCAGGAGCACAAACATCAGCACAAGATGACAATTAGATAGCAGAGCTGCATTTACCAGTAAAGTAAAGGAAGAACATTAAAATAGTAATGTTGTAGATAATACCATTCAGAGCCTAGATCCTGGTGCACATAAACACAAACATTACAAGTAAAAAAAAATAAATAAATGGTATAAGGCAGGAAGACTCTGGTGAAGTTGTTTAAAAATAAGTCATTCTAAATAGAGAGAGATTCATAGTACAAGGCAGACATTTTCAGTGAAAGTAATCCCTCTGACATCTCAAAAAAAGAGACTCTTAATAATTGATGCCTTCAAGAGAACTTACTTAGCTGAAGCTCTATATTAAACCCCAGGAGATGCAGTACAAGTGTTTTTCACCACCTTCTGCCTTAAGAACTAAGAAATAACACTACAGGTTCTAATGGTTTTAACTGCTTTCAATACTGAGTGAAGAACCAAATATGACCCAGAGTTTGTCAGAAGCTGTTTCTAACTATGTGTGTAGTACCAACAGTGATCAGTCATGCTATAGGAAATTCTCCTGAAGAATAACCAGGCACTTAATCCAAATGGCAAGAAGTGCAAATTGTGAGGGAAGATGTTGATGGAAGCAAACCAGCCTTCCCATCCAGCACTGCCTGAGCTCTGACAGTGGCAGGACAGAGGAGTTAAAAGGTCACTTTCACAGTTGATGTGGGTTTCCTTTAAGATGCCTGGAAAATGACTGTGTTGACCACATCCACATTCTGAAATACTTTTTTGAGAACTCCTAACGAAGCTCCAGCCAAAGGAACAGGAACTGACTCATTTGTACAGTACCCATGCACTGCACAGTCACACTCAGATGCGAGCCCGAGGTGCACGTGGGCAGGGATAAAGCAGGCAAAGTTCACATTGAATTTGAGAGACTCCAGACTGGGATTCTGCCCTGACACACCAGTGCTCAGCATGAAGGTGTGCTCACACACATCTTTATTACTGCAGCCTGCCACTCACTGTCAGCCTCAGCTCTACTATTCCTGCTTCTGAACACAAATTTATGCACAGAACTGAGGACTGCAAGCTGAGCTCCACACTGTGAGCTGTCCTCAGTATTTTACTATTTGCAACTCAAACTAGCCATGAACAAAGAGATAAAGATAAATAAGCTGTTATGCTATTACAGATGGTGTGTAGAGTGGGGGGGAACCTAAACCAAGTATACCTTTTAAAATGGACTTAGCTGCATATACTGTGTGTGAATCAACTCAGCCCTAGCTATGTTTTACCACAAGATAAAACAGTTCTGAAAGCAAAACTTGAAGGAACCAGCAAATCATTCCAATATTTCCAATTCACTCAGCAGCCTTCAGTGCATGGGAAAATTGAATGCAGTGAGAAGAGCTCTGTACAGGACATAGATACCACTGAGTATCACCTTGCAGCTGTTAGCTATGTATAGACTTGCAGAAAACAGGCATCCCATTTAAAACTCTGCTTTCTACAAAATAGGTGTGCCACTAGGCCATTGTTTAAACCCACTGAAACTGCACTGAATCATTTCCCTGAATAGCATCACAATGAAGTGGGTGTGTTGTTTTTAAATCAAGGTGTCTGCTAAGAAAGTTCTTTTAACAATTTTTGGTTATCAGCACATCCCAGAAGCATAAGACCCATCTCTGAAATTCCATAGAAATTACACTTCCAAGTATAAGATGCCAAAGAATTAACTCTGCACCAAATATTTCAGGGAAAGTAAAACAGGGATTCCAGGTGGTAGAAAACACCTTTGATTTAACTACAGAACTATGCTGCTCTGAATATCCATCAGAACCTTCACTGCTCCCACCTCACTGGGCTACTGAATGCAACCCTTTAAAAGCAGATTTACCTGACATCCCAGGAATAGTTTTCCCCATGGGTTTGGCTCTCTGGGCTATCATGAAGAAGCAATTTTATCTATAACATACAAACTTTTTTGGGGGGGTTTTCCCCCCTCCCCTAAATGAATATTTGATTAAGTGTCCTTGCCCATATCCAGGAACCTTTTAATTGATACTTCTGTGGTATTGAATTGCACACTGCTCCTCCACCACAGCATTTCTTTTAACCTCAGCCATAGAATAAGAAAGTTACAGCAGGCAAATTTGTCAGGCAGCAAAAGCATATTGGAAGTGTTCAAAGCAAACAAGTCAGTCCGTGAAGTTACAAATTTGAGGGGCATTCTGGCTACAACATGCAACCTTTTGGGCAGAAAATCCTGGGGAAAATACAGCACTCATCTTGCTAATACAGTTTTTTTTCCTCCCTCTCCCTACCAGATCAGGTAACCAAGCAGATGAATCCTGACAGAAGAGCAAGACATGCCACGGTATTTCACACTTAAGAGGCAATTAGAGACGTCTGATTCAAATACATTTCCACCTTCTGTACTCGTTTTCTAGAGTATGAGCCATATATGTTTTCAGGGGAATTTTAGTTATATAATAATGGTACTAAAACATATCATTGACAAGAAAGAGCACCTAGATAGGGTAACAGTCATAAGAGCTTTCTTTTGTGGTACAAGAAACAAGTGGTACTTTTCAGTTTCTTCTTACACAAAGGTTTCTCCTACCTTGCTGCTATTACTGACACACCTAGTGGAAGACATCACCTTCCACATTCAGGAAAGAGCCATTCCTCCCCTTCATTCAGCCTACTGGAAACAGCTGAACAAAACCAATAAGGCAGCTGCAACCTGGAGCATCACCTGGACACCAGCAGACTTTCAGTAAGTTTGTAAATTGATTTCAGAGCCTCAGAGCTTCATTCTTCCTACAGTCATAAGCCAGTTGGGAGGAAAGCACTTTGATTTTCTGAATGTGACAGAGTTTTGCCTTCTCCAGCTGCTGTACTAAAGAAGGCTTTAGTGAGACCTGCCTGATATAGCTCAGCAGTTTCTGAGCAGCTCCAGCCAGGCAGGTGATCTCCCACGTAAAGCAGTGTCACCAGCGAGAGACAAGCTCACACTACACCTGCCTGACAAAGGGCTGAATTTTTATGCTCTGTACGTGAAGATTGGGTATCATCAGTCATTTCAACTTCTCAGCCATCTGAGCAGCACAGAGCAGAGCCACACTCCTGTAGCTGACAACAGTGGCCACTACAGCAATCAAGTGAGCAACTCCTTTAGAAAATACATAAATCACAGACAGCTTCCACCGAAAGACTGCTTGGGCTAAGCAAGCAGCAGAGTGGAAACAAAGCAGCCACTCAACTTCCAGTTCCTCTCCCCAGCCACAAGGCACATCCTCCTGTCTGCTTGCACCAACAGATGCTCCCAAGACACTGCACTGCAGCTCAGCTCAGCTGGCACCTACTAAAGGAAGGCAAAAAAATCTTCTAAGGATGCTCAGAATCTCTTCAGCAAGGATCAGTTCCCTGATAAAGCAGCTTAAGACCTTCCCAGTCCACACTGTGGTTGTTCCTGGAACACAGAGTTTCTAACACCTTGCTCTTCTCGTGCCCTACTCAGGCTTTCCCTATCACAACTGCAAACACTATTATGCAATGTACGTGAGTGCTGCATTTCCTATAGTTTCCGGGAGAAAGAATAAACATTGGATTTCATCCTCATTCCACAGCTGCTTGTGGGGAGGGAGGCCTCCCGTCCACTCCTTCCTCCCCTGAGGAATTTCGGAGGAGGCGCGGAGCTCTCCGGGCCAGGGCTCCAGCTCAGCCCTGCTCAGGGGCACCCTGGCACTTCACCCCTGGGCCACTGCACAGGGCAAAACACCTGCCTGCTTAGGGAGTGACACCCTGGAGGCTGGCTTTGCTGTTAGAGGCAAATTGGAAGCACTAATATTGATGATAATCTTAATTTTTTTCAGTCATTAGGGACTATGTCAAGAGGAGGCTCCCAAAACGAAGTATATTTGTAAGCACAGTGCATATTGATTGCTATTAGCAAACATAAAACACATCCAACAAAACACTTTTACCCTCATTTACTTACTGAGAAGTCAGTGCTTTATCAGGCACCTAAACATGCTCAAGCTTTACAAGAGACATGCTAAACTGATTTAAAAAGACTTGTGCACTGATAAGTAATTAGTGATGCTACAAACATAATCATTAATGATGAATATTTACATATTCATTAATTCATCCAGAAGCTTAACCAAAGCCATAGGTCTGAGGAGTTAAATATTTGCTGATGCTACATGAGGATCTCCTCCATTCAAAGGCTATCATTTTACTAATTAGTGAATTTGGATACAACTTGTAAGATTTGCCTGAAAGTTGACTCTTCCCACATGTTAAATGAATCAAGGAAATAGTTCAAAACCCATAAAATTTTCAATTCTTTTAATTTCCACAGATTCCTCCTGAAACAATCAGAATGGTCAAATCTCCCTCATATTCCAAATTTTTTCACCCTTTTTATCCTAACTTGCTAGCACACAAGCTTCCCCTTTGTATCTGCAGGTAGATACTGGCAAACACCTCCAGTTTTTACACAAAACCAAGAATTATATCACATGGTCACGTGAATGTGATCATCTCCCATTCAAAGCATTCAAATCCCATTCAGTAAAGCACATCTCCAAATGCTGAGCCTTATCACAGTATCATTTTTAACTAACCTTGAAATTTAAAGTAGTATTAGGTATAAGCATTATAAAAGTCTGTTCTTTTAAATGTTGTTATTCAGGGTTTTAATATCTGTTCCCTCCCCTCCAAATATAGTAGGACAAAAAAAAAAAAAAGGACAAAGCAAATAATATATATAAAAAAGACAAAGCAAAATGGGCCTCTCAAATGAACAAGTACTCCAAGTATTTGCAATGAAGGTAGAGAATAAAAAGTGTTGCCAATAGAAATCATTTCAGGTGTATTGCCCAACTTGTTAGACAAGGGCATCAAAAGATTAGTAAAATACAAATATTTAATTATTCACAAGCCATCCAGACCTGTGATGTTTTCCTTAAGGTGTGAACAGCTGGCTACAAAATTTAGACCAGATGTTGCTCTTAAAATGAGCACTGATTTATAAACATGCAGTTTCACCATGACCAAGACAGCTACAAAACTGTACAGCACTATGCATCTATTTATAGGAGATATTTCTGATGGTGAAGAAAAGTGAAACATCTGGTTCAAGATGATTATGAAACAGACAAATCTCATCACATAATAACTACAGAGCATAACTTTTCAAGAGCAGAGACTGATGTGCAAAAAGAAGCCCAAAATTCTGCAGAAAGGTACTTGCACATGGAGCAGGCAGAGTTATTGTAAAGATGCAGTGCAGAGTGACCATTAGAAGGCAAACACAATTTTTTTTCAGGATGTTGACTTTGATTATCTCATGATGCAGGGAATAACTCCAGTCTGCAGATTCACTAGGAGGGTTGCATCACTGCCTAGTACTAAAAGCAAGCATGCACTGTTGTAACACAAGAAAGAGCTGACATATTCAAAATGAAGGGGGTTTTGTTCTCCCTCTACACAAATCTTTGGGGACAACCAGAAAGTTTCAACATGGACACAGCCACAAGTAAGAGCTTGGCCTAGAAAACTTACTTCTTGATGGCTGAGATGTTCTAGAGTTCACTTGTGCTCTCGCAGGAAAATAAAACATATTTTAGAAGTAGGGAAGAATCTGAACAGGGCTATACAAAAAGTCATGAGTATTTCTATTTGAGAAACATGCTGCTTGCACAGTGTTTCTAGGCAATAATTCTGTCAGATCATTAGTTTCCCTGGCTCAATACTCCATCTTATAATACATAGTATGAGCTGTGCCAATATACTCTATTTTTTAAAAAAGAACAGCTAGAGCTTCTTCCCTAAACTTGGATGCTTACAACAGCATATCTGACTGTTGTATATGATAGTCAAAAACATAAGTTTTCACCTTTATAAAGAAAGCCAATTCAAAAAAAAAGAATAACTTTTAGGAGAGTGTATTCTCCTGTGTGCCACACCCAGTCCCACCTTTTCAAATCTGTTCAGGCAACACGATGATGTGACTTTTGAGACGTTGCAGGGATATAATAGTACACAAACTTGAAAAGGAGGTTTAAACTGTTCATCTTGGACAAATAGTTTCAATTCAAATTTATCACCAGGAATTGTCAGATTCAGCAGCATCTGTATTGTTAGGCAAGCCTAGACAAGGCAAAGCTTTGCTGGGAGTTGCACAACAGGGCTGTGTCAGTTATCTCTGAGAACAAGTCAGAAACACAGAGGATCTGCTTAAAAACTGTCAGCCTAACCATTTGGGCAGGATGATGGTCCAGAGAATCTCCTATGTGCCAGACAGATGGTGTGAAAGTGAAAGAACAATTTGTAGGTCATCACTCCATCATCAACTTCAAAGCCATCCTGCAACTCAGTAAGGTTGCTTGAGTCAATTCATTCTTGAACTTTACATCATCCAGCTGAACTATAAAAGCAGATTTTCTGTCCTGGGACTGTTGAACTTTTAAGATACTGCTATTTGTACCAGTAAATCACTTGATTTAAATCTCTATTGCTCATCAGCCTTTATGAGCAACACCAGATCTTCACAGAAATGAGTTGATGATGATGCTCTGGCATTATGAACTGAAACCAATGATATATTATATTTATCATATGTAGGAGACAGGAGAATTTAGATATGCACTCCACCTCTGTCTGTCCATGCAGGAGCTTAGGCTTAAGTTATTTTTATTGGTGTTGAGGATTTTCAACAAGACATTTAAAGAAATATTAACAGCCTATCATAAGACTATAAAATTGCTACGTCTCTTATACATGTCTTTTTAAAGATGTCTCATCTTTCTCACAAATCCCATGCAAATACGTAATACCAGCTCAACTTTTCAGCTGTGTCAAATAATTTTTAAGAACAAATCAAACATGACAACCCCCAAAGAAAACTACTTTCAATCATGTTACACTGCATTTCTAACAAGTATAGGGGCAGAAGAACTATCTGCAGTATTAATATTACAGATAGATGAAGAAAGTGGATCTGCATTTGTAGAGAACAGATTCCACATAAAGAAACAGTTTTCAAACATCAACACAACTAGAATATAAAGGGGAAAAAATTGCTCAAATAACTGCAGTGAAGAAAAGTAATTTAAAGGGCAACTCCTTCCTTTGCCACTTAATAAATGTAACATATCTTCAGGGACTGGAAACAAGCATCCTTGCCTATAAAAATCTTTCCCTAAGTTAAGGCTAACTAGAAGTGCAGCAGCTAACCCAACCCTCAATTCCTGGGCAGGGGAAAGAGTAATTTCTAAGAGACAGGGAACCTTGGTGCTGCCAGAAGCAACTCCTCACTGCCACACTTGGGAGTGTGCACGTGTGTTATTCAGACACTGACATGATCTATGGAACACAACCCGTCCAAGATGCTCCAGGGTGAGGGTGGTACAACACACATTTGAAGTTTCCACGGCTCACTGTAGCTATTATAACAATTTCTATTCTCTCACGCAAAAAACCCATTTAGTCACAAAAAGTTATCGATATCTAGGAGGTCGGTGTGTGTTATGTGTGAAAGAGGAGAGGAATGTGATGTGCACCAGCACATGGTCTAAGAACATCCAAATTAATGAGTCTGGAACTTGCTGCTAGCTGACAATTCTGGGTGTCACCATTCAGTGCTGCTCTATCACACATGTGTATGTATCCCCACGTTGTCTTGCTGTCCACACAATCAAAATATTTTACAAAATTCACACACCGCCAAAGTGCTACCAAACAACTGAATAAATCAGGGACCTAGGTGAACCAGCCACATAACCCTTTCAGCATCTAAGCTGACACATAACTACAACAATCCTTCCCTCTGAGAAAAGCTAATTTTATGCATTCCTCATGTTTCCCATATTTGCCCTTCTCTACATCAGTCAGGCAACACCACTAGCAATAATCAGTAAGAACTGTTATTATGACACATAACAAAATTTACTTGTTGCAGTTAAAATTTCAGATTCCCCCAAAGCATTTTGTAATTCCAGGCATTTTCTTTTTTAAAACAAATATTTTCATTACATATGCTCACAGAAATCAGACAGCAAAAACTTACTAGCAGAATGAGAGCAAAATGTGGTTTTGCATGAGATCATATACGACAAAACGTAAGGGTTTTTTTTAATGAATAAACTGGAACAGTCAACAGTATGACACAAACCAAAGTACAAGTAACAGACATGATCTAAACAGAATTTGACTAGAACATGTTTATTTAATTCTCAAAATTTCAGCTTATGCTTAAATCAGTCAGCCCTCACCTCATACAAGTATTTCAAAATAGGTGAGCAAAACCCCGTGGGAGGGGACCGATCATTTTAATAATAGACAACAAATTGACTACAGTCACATTTTTTTCAAGCACTGACTACTTAAACAGAGTAGTATGTGCTTTTTATTTTTGGGAGAGTGGGGGGAAGGGAGCGGGGGGACCTCTGGGAAGAATGCTAACCTTATGAATTCTTCCTCTGGAATTTTAATTGGTAAATCTATAAGTAAAAACGTACCCAGCTGCAGGGAGCTGCTCCCCAGCCCCACCACAATCACAGAACCTCAGAGCCGTGTGCTCAAGCCTGAAAACAGAATATTTCCTTCAGATGGTGCCCAGCCACACCTGAGCTAAGGAGGAGACTCCAACAGCACAAACTGGATTATGCTCTTCCCGAATGGTGAAGCCAGAGTGCCTCTGGAAGATACGTTTATCTCACCATCTATTCTTTTTATTGCTGCTCTTATTAGACATTTCCTACTCGTTTTTGCAATAAATTTAGCTACACAACAACCTTGAGCTCTATTTTTATACACAGCATTGTTCAAAGAGCTTCCGAAAATTGTATAAGGAAAGAGAGAAAGGCCTTTGAACAATCAAGAAAAGCTTCATAACAGAAATGTAACCTCAACACGAGCTAGTTTCTTTTTTCCCTTTTTGGAAAAATCTTCACATAGGAATTTCAGACAGATGAAAGCAAGAGATTTAAAAATAAGAAGCAGCGTTTTATGCATCAGAACCAACAGCGAAGAGCATGACACCTTTTAACCTGTAACCAAAGATCTTTCCAAGCGCATGTTGAATAAGTTACAGCTCAAAAAGAAAGTAAAATTAAAGCTTACAAAGTTGAACAGCAAATCTGAAACACAGGTTGTAATTTCCACATAATATATTCATTCTTTACTTATTGAGCAAACACAAGGTCTACAATGTATTACAGACACTACTATTTCCCATATGACTTACAGGCAGTTTTCAATGTAGCAATTAATGTACAGTATTTAAAAATAATTGAAAGAAAGGTTTTTTATACACACTCACACGGTAATGTGGTTTTTAGGATCACATTATATTCAGAAGTCTTGTAAAAAACCAACATTCTGAATAACTATATATTTATAGAACACGCTATTTCTACTTTGAACAGAATTGTGCCTCTGAAGAACATCACTTTTTTTTTTTCCCCTAAACACTGAGAGGATATTAAGTAACAGGCACGTGGGAAGTTATATCTAGTTTTAACACGCAGAACGCAAAGCGATCACGCTTAGCTCGTGATTTAAAGTCACTTCAGTTTCCACACGCGAAAAAAACAATGGCAAAGCGAACCTCCAGCGCCCGCAGCCCCCGGGGACCCTCCTTCGCCCACCGCCACCCGCACCTGAACGCCGCGTCCCGCTCCCACCCCCGGGGAAGGAGAAAGGAGTTTCCCCGCCACAAGGAAGTCGCAGACACACGTGCTGGGGTACTTTTATCCAGACGGGGTTCCGAGAAACCTCCGAGGAACTTCCCCCCGGCCCACGGGAGGAGGAGGGGGGGGAGCGGGCAGCGGCCGCGGCGCTCCCCCCGCGCCCCACAGGTGCGCCCCGGCTCCGCGGGCCGGGCGCTGCCGCGGCTGCGCTGCGCACTCACCCGAGCCCGGCGGCGCTCCCCGCTGACAGGACAGGCGGCTCCCGGGAGGAGCGGTGAGGGACGCTGAGGGACGATGAGGGGCGGTGAGGCCCGGCGCACGGCGAGGCCGCGGGAGCGGCGCGGAGCAGCGCCCGCCGCCGCCGCGCTCCGCTCTTATAGCGACCCGCCAATTAAGGGCGGCCAATCGGCGGGCGGCGGCCACGTGACGGGGCAGTTCCAATTACGGCGGAGAATTTTCTGAATTAGCGGGGTTACACAAAGGACACTCATTGAGGGGGAAGGAAAAAAGGGCAGCGAGCGGGAGCGGGAACGCCCAGCCGGAGCCTGCTCGGTGATTTAAAGCAGGAAACTCCCTCGCCTCACACAGACACGGCCGCATTCAGCACCGGCCAGCATCTCCGCGGGAGGAATGTCTGGCGCACATTACGCTAATCCTCGCCCCCGAGCTGGGGTTTACACAGCCACCGCGGCCATCGCCTCGCCCGCTTCCCCCTGGCCGAGGGCAGAGCGGCACCTCCCGCCTCACCGCCAAAGAAGCCCTGTCTGTTACCTATATATATACCCACGCACACACACACAGATATATTTTCAAGTATAAGCTGGAAGCGGCTCGCAAAGCTAACGCTGATGGTGAGCGATGTGCCGGCACTGCCCTGAATAAACTTCTGCGCGCGGCGGATGACACGAGTCAATAAAAAACCGGAATTATTGAAAGGCATTATTGAGCCATTAACAATTAACAGCTCCCCCGCCTCCGCCCGTGCCTTAAAAAAAAAAAAAAAAAAAACACAAAAAAAAACCCCAAAAAACCGCGCCTGTGTGCTAATTAATATGCTTTACGTTTTAATTGCGAGGAGTCGCTGCGAGAAGAGACGAACAGTGTGTAAAACCCGGCTCGCCCAAAAGCAATGCTGCAAACCTCACCTGCCCACAAACCCGCACGGAGCACAGGCCAACACCTCCGAGCGCCGGCCCGAGATGCCGCCGAGCCACGCCGCATCCCTGCCCCGCATCCCGGCTCCCCTGCCCCGCAGGAACGCGTGTGGTACCCGCGAACATCGCCAGCGCCGCCCGAGGCACAGCCGGAACGAGGGCCAGGCTGCCTGCCCCCTGACAAACCCTGCCAATCCCAATTTATGGGCAGGAAACGTATGCCAGGACAAACCAGCCGAGATGACTCAAGTCGCCTCTCCCCCACCCTCCTGTTCCGCAGAACAGCAGCCCTCTTTAGCAGCGGGGAGTAGGATCTCGTAGAGGAATGACTCAAAGTTGCTCTCTGGGGCAGGGGAAAAACCCCCACAGAACAGAAAACACCCAGTTCCCTCCCCACCCCCTCCTCTTTTTTTCACATTGTATCAATTAAACCCACAACAACTGTCTTGAGGTAACAAATACACTAAAGAGAAATCTAGTTGGACCACAAGATAAGTTTACTGAGGTCAAACCCAAGGGAAAATTAATCTAACCACATTTTCAAATTTTTGGACTATTCCATTGACCAATAAAACCATAAAATGACAAAAACATCCTATCCTAGAATAGCATGAGGATAACAAAAATGTTATGTTTAATTAAAGGCAGATGACTTAATAATTTCACACTGTGTACACACAAAACTCATTATTAATTTTTTCATCTACTGTAATTTTTTTAAGGAAATGATCATATGTTTTAAGCTTTTGAGGGTACTTTTTATCTTCGATTTAAAGTTATTTGATTAGAATAAAGAGATCAGAATACTTTATAAATCTTGTCTGTGAACATTACGCCAGCAAGTGATTTTAAATAATGGACAGATTAGTTTATGGAGAATAACATGTTCCATCTTAGCAGACAGTGAATAAATCTCTCTTAAAATATCCATGGGTTTTCTATCAACATAAAAAATAGGAGAAGCACTGTTCACCTTCATTGGAACTTTAGTGATAGATCGCAACATTGAATCTGAGACCTAAGATAGCAGGTGGAGCTGCAGAAATTAGGAACTGGAAAGCAAATCAGCCAACACCTCCCTGAGGACTCTATAAATGTGACTGTATCCCCATTTTGAGAAAAGTTTCAGTTTCCTCACAGCTCCTGCAATTGACAGGTTGTTCCAGAAGTCGCTTCTGATGGTTTGGACCTTCATTTTTTTTTTCAAAATTTCCATCTTAAACTTATTCAGGGACAGCTGCTGGCACAACATGAAGTGATCTGCATTGTCCTCTCTTTGCTAGAACAGTGCTTTTCCTTTTCCTGTGCTCTACCACAAATGCCCCCATTCTTCCATTCTGCAGCTTGCTGGTAGGCAGCAGTCATATCTGCCTTCGACTCTGATGAGATATTTTATGCTAACAATTTTATCATGCTCCATCTCCGAATTCTCCCCAAAGCATTTATTATGAGGTTCTTCATGAAAATAATTTAGATTGAAACAATCAGTTCTTTTTGAATGGAAACCGTGACTCAGATGAGCCAAACACAGAATATTCCACCAAAGTATTCTATGTATAGCATTTGTGTGAATTCGTGTGGCTGAAGCCAGCCAAATAACATAAGTACTCCATAATGGAAAAGCTGATTAACCATTATAAATACTTCAGAAGTGCATTTTAAGGTAAATCCTCATAATATCCCTGTGAAACGGTAATCTTTAGTCTCCTTTAGAAAATGAGAGGCCAGGAACACTTAAAATGTCTTGACCAACATCACAGAAGTTTCCATCAGGAAGTGAGCTGCACCTAAGGAGCTCTTGGCTCCCTGTGCCATGCCACATCTCCTGGAGCACACTGTGCATCTCATTCCAACCTAGTGCTGAGCTGGATCACCTACAGTCACCTTCTATGTGGCAGAACCAGAACACTGAAAAATTATAGCAGCTGGTTTCTAATGGGGTAAGAAGTGCTTTCAGCATTGTTGAGAAATATTTTTTTTTGTAAAGTTAGTATAGTTGGTGGTTGTGGCATTTTTGGGTGGTTTTTTTGAGGGTCAGAGGCTGAGACTTTCATCCTACTGCAGACTGAGAGTGCAGAAAGGTGCATCACTGAATTGCTGGCAGTGATGGTCTGATTTCACCAGCTTGGCCATTCAGACATGACTGAAGTTCATCGGGATTCCCCCTGTGGTGTTCTCTGCGTGCTTTAACACAGAAACTCAACTAGAGCAGGAAGGCAGAGAATAAGGAACATGCAAGGGAAGGCAATGTTCTCTTCACCCTGCTCTGTGCACCCTCACAGACAAAATCTCCCACCTATTCTCCCTCTTCTGACCATTTCCTCAGGATGCCTGCTTCTCTTCTGTTTGAGTAGTGACTGTCTCCTACTGTAGTTATCAATCATCCTCTCCCAAATATTTTTCTCTTCTGATTTTCTCACCTATGTGTCTTGGTCCAAACATGAGAGATAAATTGCCTGATTGCTTTTGGGATGCTTGGTGTTGGGACACAGGGACAGGACAGCACTGCTACTGGACATTGGTCACTGGTATTGGACACAGGGGCAGGATAACACTCATACTGGACACTGGTCACTGGTATTGGACACAGGGGCAGGATAACACTCATACTGGACACTGGTCACTGGTATTGGACACAGGGGTAGGAGAGCACTGGTACTGGACACTGGTCATTGGTGTTGGACACAGAGGCAGGATAACACTCATACTGGATATTGGTCACTGGTATTGGACACTGGTCACTGATATTGGACACAGGGGCAGGATAACACTCATACTGGACACTGGTCACTGGTATTGGACACAGGGACAGGATAACACTCATACTGGACACTGGTCACTGGTATTGGACACAGGGGCAGGATAACACTCATACTGGACACTGGTCACTGGGGTATTGGACACAGGGGCAGGATAACACTGGTATTGGACACTGGTCACTGATATTGGACACAGGGGCAGGATAACACTCATACTGGACACTGGTCACTGGGGTATTGGACACAGAGGCCATCCAGCTGACAACATGGGTGAGAGGGACTGATCCTGTCAAGATTTCAGCACTCTACAGTGCTGCCAAAGGCCACCACCCACCACACCTCAGGGACTCCTGTTCCCCAGGGGAGTCAGACAGCCAAGCTAGACAGTTCCCATCTCACACAAAGCCATGAGGCAGGAGAGGGAGAGGAAAAGGCAGCGCAGAGACCACATGTGCCCACTTGTCACTCTTGGTCAGGTTTATTTACAGCAGTACTTTGTGAGCAGGACTGAAGATGTGGAAGATCTGAAGATCTCAGGACTGGGGGAAAAAAGCAGACTCGTGTTTCCCTGAGGAAGGGAGTGAGCTCCCCAGCAAAGTGCCACCACCCTCAATGCTAATTGCACTGAAGGCTCTCCTCTGCCGGAGGGGAAGAGCCCAGCCCAAGGGGAAGCTCCCATCACCACTGGGACGTGTGAACCAGGAAAAGTCACAGACCATGGACGCCTGTGAATGTACATATCATTTCCTTATAGCACGATGCAGATGTTAGGAAGAGGAGGAAGAAACGAATTTTCTCTTTTCTCCTCTAAAGATCTCCTTCCCTGTCAATATTATTGAATAAGTAAAGATTGTAAGCACAGATATAAATAAACACGTGTCATTTAACTAGAAAGTGAGCAAGTCCATGTTTGTTTATTTTCCTTTTGCGTAAACAAGTGATCTAGGCTCTGAGAACCTTTTTATTTAAAAAAGCCAAACAAAACAAAGAAACAAACAAACAAAAAACCCTTAAAATTTAATTCTCTTTGATATTTCCTCTTAAGCTATCCCCTATTTGTCTGTTTTAGAGAAAGTGGAAGGGCTGTATTAGCATGCTTGGCTGAAAATGCACTTTTTCCCACCACCTTATGCAAGTTCTGGTACCTGCTGTGACTGATTCACAGCATCAGCGTGCAGGAAGTCCCTCCGTGCTCAGTGTTATATACATAACACACATCAGTTTCCACAGGCACTGAGCTGCTCCTAATTTCCACTGGGATTGTTGGACTGCATCACCTCTACATTCCAGCTCTCTGTAAACATCTCTTTTTCATGTATAAAACATCTCCTTTGAATGCTCGCAGTGTCTGATCACAGAACCCGAGCTGTGCTCAGCATTCAGCTCTCAGGGAACAAGGCTTGTCAGACACAATGATGGGCAGAACTGCAACATTTGTGTTTCCACCGGTGGGTGAAGACAGGAGCTCTCCACCACCCATCCACAGCCTTGTAGGAAACACAGCACGCTGCTACACATTTGTGTAATGGAAGAACTGCAGCTCTTGGGGAAAAGCTTGTTAAGGATACAAAATTAATATTAATTAAGGAACAAATAATATTAAAGTAAGGTCTTCTGGTATTCCACTTCAACAAAAAAAATCCCTATATATGGTCTTCTTAAATAATTTTTCTTCAATAGATAGACTCAGAAATACAAGAACTTGACCAATTTTAGCATCACTTGCTGCAGCTCTCCTGAGCTGCTAAAAGCAAACATGACTCAAGACCAATGTAGTGCTGTTGTCTGCTAAAGTAACCAGAAAACCAGAGTTCTGCTGCTGCCTCTATGGCACTTGTGAAAAGGAAGTCTTGTTAAGACTTTTATCAACGTAAGTAAAACAGCAGCTTGAAGAAGGATTTCATTTGCTCCATTTCTAAATCAACTTTTTCAGACTACGGTGACATAAATATACAGTGGGTGAGGGTGGGGGAGGTTTGGGTGGGAGAAGGGGAGGATGGAGGAGGACAGGGTTTTATGCCAAGAGCTGAATCATAACCATGTGAGTAATTTTGGTCGGTTTTTTTTTTCTTTTTTTTTTTTTTTTTTTTTTGTAAGGGTATGAATCAAATTAAATTTGTTTTGCTGTGGGTGAAGGAAGAGAGAATATAATAGCATGAATCAGAGCTATCATCAAATATGTGGCACAGACTAAAAATTAATTACAATTACTGCCTTCTTGTAAAAAGTTTCTGCTGCAAGATGCAGCAATTTTGTTAATCAATAAAATCCATTTTAAAATTCACAGGAATTAAAACCTTCCAATTACTTTCCTTTTCTTATTAATTTTTTCCCCTATTATAACAAGGAAAAGATGAGCATCTTTGAACAAAATCTTTCTTTGTCTGTTAGATGCCCTTTTGCTCCAGTGGTAAAAAGACTGCTGCTAATAATGAAAATTAGATATTAGACTACATGTAGTCTCTTCAGGTAGAACTAGCTCAAGGATGTAAGTTCAGGGAATACATGATTTACCACCTTAGCACAGATGTTTTATTAGGCAACCTAATAAAGACAACTTATTTAGTGAATAAGCCAAACAGAAAAACACTCAATATCCCTTTGTCTTTGCCTATAATAGTGAGATAAGGTCATGGAAAAATGAGTGTTGAACACTGGTTTTTTTACACTTTGGAATAGCCATTTAACTATGAAACACTGGGGAAAGCATAAAGGGCTTAGACCATAAAACCTCTTTTAAAGAGGCCAACACAAATACTGGGGAACAAACCTATGCATTATTAATTACTAGTTACATAGATAACTAATGATATACGTATTTTCGTACTAGCAAGGAAAATCCTACTAGTAGGATTTTGATAACTAAAAAGTTTGCCTCCAAGCTTCTAGGATGGAGAAAATGTTATTTAATTCCCTGTCTGAAAAACACAATAAAGCCTCAGCAAGGCATCATTTGGAATCAATTCCTCCCCCTAAACAACTCCAGATCTTTCCCATAGTAATTCTCTTGCACGTGCCCAGTAAAACTCTCTGTATAAAGGACGGGTGTACAGCATGTTCAGGAATTCAGCTGAACCACGAGCCTTAAGGACGCGATTCCCAGACAGACAGAAAACTTCTGTCGAGTCCACTGCAGCTGCTGTGACTTTCCAGTGCTGTGTGTGGGGGGAGGAAGAAAATGGAAGACAATTCCCTCAGCCATTCTGGAAAACCCCCTTTGACCATCTCAAAAACAAAGTCGCTGGCCCAACAACATCCTTGCTACCTCGTGGAAGCTGTTCCTCCTTTTTTATCAGCATCACTCAGTACCCAGGTTCACCCAAGCCTCTGCCAGGTAGGAGAAAAGCCCAGACAACTTTGCAGATTCAAAACATCCCATATGGATTATCCCAGCCTTACAGCATCTCACAGTCTCACCTCACATGCAGGACGTGTGAGGGAGAACAAAATAACTCAGAAGATGTCTTTGACATAACCACCCAGGACTGAAGGATTACTGGACAACAGCACAGGCTGGAATCACTCTCTAAAACACAGCAATTGAAACTCTCCATCAATCCTTAAAAATCCCTCAAAACACAGCAATAGAAACTCTCCTGCAAGGAGATCAGTGTCACAGTGGCAACCAGTATTATTGTGGTATAATAAGGATATACAAATTTTTTTTTTTATATCCACAACCTCAAAGAAGGCCAATTTCCCCTCATTTGCCTCAAGACAAAAATCACTGATGTTCCCTAACTTTACTTGCAATGAAGAATAAGCTCCCAGTAGAAATAAAATGCAAGTTGCCAGAAGTTAACCAGAGAAGATGCTTAGTATCTCTTCCTGAAGGATAAATCAGCATTTTTACCATAGCTGTGGTCATCTTTATTTATTACACAATAGATTACCACAGGCCGTGGGTTGTTGGGCTTTTTTACATTTCTGGTTAAATTATTTCTCAACTACTGTGTAGAAACCAAACTTCTCAAATGTCCATCCTCCTTATTTTGGCAGAGCTTAGTAGGGACTTTTAACTGTCCTAGAGATGATATACACCACTTGGTAAAGTTAATTAACAGCTTTCCATGGCAAATAGCTGCCATTTCTTGCAGGTGTTAGAAAGGTACAGAAAGGAAAAGAACATTTTTCTTTGGCAAAAAATTACTCTAAACCAATATTGATTAGAGCAGTAACATTCTCAGACACTAAACAGAAAAGCTCTTACACTTTAGTCCCAGATATTAACATTTTAAATATTATTACTATATACAATATAGCAATAATATTTTAGCTATGAGATTTTAAAGTAGCTGCTAGAACAGATCTTTTCTACCAGCTCTTCTCAACCATCTCAGTGACAAAAAGAGCCTTGTATCTAGGCACTTGGCTACAAAACCATATTAAGAGTAGAGAGTAACTTTTATCCAAGTATAGAAAATCGTATACTTATGCACTTAGCAAAATTTTTAGGGATTTATCAAAATACTACAGATTTTTGTAGAAAACCTCCTGTAAATGCAATGGCTTTAAATTAGTACACATATTATTACTATTTACTTACTTTAATGGCTTAAGAAATATTTCTGAAAGTAGCCTTTAAATACTGAAATTCTGTTTTGGTTTCAAAAAAGTCCACACATCCTTCACATTTTTCAGAATTGCTGGAGCAGTTCAAGAAAAGATGATAGGAAATTCCATTTGAAAATGCCAACACTTGCAAATACAATTTGAAGCATGGGATGGGAACATGATCAAGAACGAAGAACAAATATTTCTCCACAATTACACATTTTGTTTCTCCAATCCTATGAAGAAAAGCTAGAGGAAGGGGAAGTGTGTGGGGATGTGAGGAAATCACAATTGTAGTCAGGAACGTAACACAGCACTCATAATAAAATATAGAACTTCTTTCTTTCAGAACTCATAGGCACAGGGTGGCCACAGGTACAAACTATTGCTTGCCCTCCAGTGCAATTTTTATTCCTGGCCTGTTAAATTTAAAAAGAAGTCCAGGATTATGAGTTTTGGTGACTTCATAATGGATGCACATGTGAGCTTTTAAATTAGCTGCAATTCCTGAAACACATTATTTGAAATTTGTTTCAAGGCAGGCTTCAGGAGAGAGAAGTCTTAGCACAGACAATCCTGATCTGGCACCTTTTACAGAGCTAACAGGAGGCATTTGATTTGCATGGATTAGTGAAACCAGTGCAGGCTGATTCATGTGCCTGCAACAGCTTCTGCACCCCAGAACTGCATCCAGAGGAGGGTCACAATACTAATAAACGCAAAATTAATTTCACACCTCCTAAATTACAAGGCAAGTCTTATCAGTGCTAGACTGTGAGCTTCTAGGGGCAGAGACAGCCTTGTCTGTCTCTCTTGCAGAGCATTAATCATGCTGTGGGTGCTCACAGCTAATAAGACACACATAAATCTATTCTGATGTGGTTTTTTGCCACTTCAGACTCGAGGAGAGTCACACACACACACACACAAAATCTTACCTCTCTACCTAACAATACACTAATGTGCCTCATTGAAAAAACAAGTCCTGATAGGAACAGAAATGCTTTGTTTTTGTTTATGCCACCCAGACAGAGTCTGTGGCTATACAATGCAAATAGTTGGCAAAACCTAAACCGCAAGTATGCAGCAGCACTGTGAGTAATAAAGATAATGTTTGTATTTTGTTTATGAAGAGCCCTAACCAAACACTAAAGCAAGCGTACCGAAACCAAACAACACTCAGATCTTTAGAAAGACTTCAGAGGATCCAAATAATATAATTTAATCACTTTGTTCTTTAACAATCTAAACATCACTTAAAATTTACAAGCAGTAATACTGTGTAAGTTCTCTGAGATGAAAAATGGGATGCAGCCAGTTGCCTTTTTCTACCCCAACTATTAAAGTTCAAACAAATCAAGCCCTATTACTGAGGGGAAAAAAAAAAAAAACAAACACACCTTACAAAATTCCCTTGCTCCTAAGGTTGAGAAATGCTGTATTGCTCAGCCAGCATGGAATTCCTCCACCTCTGGAATCATGTGAAAGTATGTTGCAGTTACTTCACTGTGCTGAATAATCTGCATACAACTTTGACAACACACCTGCACTTCCATGTGGAGTGCATGTAAGAAATGTATAAGAATGAATAAGAAATGTATTCTATATTAAAAAAAAAAAAAAAAAAGAGAGAGGCTGAGGTAAGACTTCTTGCTAAAAGATAAAAGACAGATAGAAAACCTAGGATCCAACAGGTTCCTCCCCACAGGGTGCACCAGAGGCAGCCTGGACACCTGAGCATGACTGTCCCTGAAAGGTGCTGAGCAAAACTGCCAACACGTACCTTAAAAAGCAGAGTCTGGTCTGTCATACCACTCTTTCCAACCCCTGTGTGTGACATTAGTGATCAAAAGAGCCAGCACAATCAGCTCTGCAAGGAGCTGCCTGACAAAACATGGGGAGCCTGGCTTGGAGAAGTCCCAGTAAGACTTCACCTAGAATTGAGATGCAGAACACAGCAAGAATCAGCTCCTCCTACAGAGGAGGAGACACTTCACTTCCTAACCCATGGTTCTGAGCTTCCACAGGCAGCCCCAGATCCCTCTGCAGATGCTGCCAAGCAAGATCCAAAACCAGGGCTGACAGGTGACCCAGACCTGCTCAGCAATCAGGTGCTTTAGCAGGGACAATGCTGACCTCTTGTTACCTGCCTGAATGGCCAGGTCTGGGTACATCACCCCATTTTATGGTAAATGCTTTTTGCATTTCCCTTGGCTGCTATGACATGACTGGGGCCAAGTCTGCTTGGGCAGAACCTTTTCTCTTGCAAAAAATGACCACTAATGACATCTTGAAGAACTACCCTGCACACATGTGGAGAAGATCAACAGAAACATTCTCTTCCAAACAAAAATCACTCCAGCAATACTAAATCTTCTACTCTAGGCTGGCTATCTTGTCCTAAGGAAAATCTTCTGGTGATCTGGCTAGGCAGGACTTGGAGAAAGAGCAGAGATTGCCTTATCCTCATGTTATCCACCCTGAAATCATCACTGTGTGAGAGGCTGTGCTGGCTGAGTCTTTGCTTACAGGGTTTCTCAGGGAGGGAATTGGCAAATATGGCACTGGCAGATAATATCCCTTGTCTGATTATCACCCACACACACTTAGGGACAATTGTGAAACACTCCTGTGGAAATCCTATCAACCTGTAGCTGGAGAGGAAAGACCAGCATGGGATGTGTGTCTGTGTATGTAGGAGGGATCATCAACAGCAGAGCAGCAGCTAAAGGGAAAAAAACCCCAAACTAAAAAAACTCTAAACCAACAAAAACCCACCCAAAAAAAGAAAGCTCCAGAAGCAGTTGACAGGTTCACAAGGATGAACATTCTCTACCCCTAACATTTCCTTCTTCTTGTGCACCCACCTGCTTTGTAAAGAGAGTTGCATCACAGTCATTACTACAATGAAATGGGCACACTGGGAGCTCTGCACAATCTTTTCAGTGTTTGTCTGACCAATACTCCCAAAAGTGGCACCTTGGTAACTCCTCATCAAAGCTTTTTAAGCTTCCTGTTTGCTCAGCAGCCTGAAGATCCCATTCATAGATCTCTGCTGGTAAAACACATGAGCAGCTACTAAAACCCTCCAAGAGCAGACAAGAAGTGGTCAGCACATCTTCCTTCCTTCATGTCACAGACGTCATCAGCTCTGTTATTGAATGTCCCTTGCCCCAGCACCCATTTCACAAGGAGAATCCTTTGGTTAAACCCTTCCCAAAGCCAGAGTGTGTCTGCACATGGAGCATCAGGACTCCCAGGGCATTCTGGCTGCACATGCAGAATCCACACATAAGGGAAGGTGGCACATTTCTGTATTCCTGGATTTCTGCTTGCACCTTCCTGCCCCACAGCAGCCCTCCTGTGACACAGATGCAGCGAAGTTTGGCAGGATTATTATACCCCATGCCCAGGAATCTTTTGATTTCCTGCAGGCTCTGAGTGTCCTGCACTTAGGTCCAGGACAGCTAACCACTTAGACGCCTCCACAATTAAATATTCTGGGAAGCAGGTTAAGTTAAAAATACACTCTAACAAACATCTTAAAATATGTCTGCTCAGTCAAGCCTGAAAGGCAAGTGGTGCTGGAACATTAAAGTATTCCTGTTCACAGGGTAGCTTAAAAATATCTGATTTATTGTTCTTTGGCAACGTTGTGTCTAGAGATAATCAACCACTCCGACCTCTCCTACACTGAATAGACTGTACAGTATCATTCTCACAAAAATACAGTATCATTTCACTTTTAGATATCTTGTTCAAAGTATGAATGCTTAGGTTATTTTCTCATCTTAATAAATGATATAAAACCTCCGGACATATGGTAGCATTTGTACGCTTTTAGGCAAGCAGTGATAACTTTCAAATGTTACTTCCCCTCCTCCTCCTCCACTACGTGAAACAAATATACAGGAACCCATTTAAATCTTAGTGACAAACACATTTAAGAGAGACTAATTTCAGTTAAAGTTTCCAAATGTCATATGAACACGTTAAATAATTGCACCAAATAAAATGAAGAGCAGATGAGTTCTCATTCTCATCATTGGTTGAAAAAGTGCCTGTATATTTCCAATAAGGATTGCACAACTTTATGAGACAATGCTTGTGCCTAAATTAGCAAGGAACAAACAAGTGTCAGCTCATACTTACAGGGACATCTGACAAGTATCATTCATGGTAACTCAACAAGTACCAGATTGGAGGATTGCTGCTGTCTCATTCAGTTTTTGAGTATCAATCCACAACTGCTTCACTTTTTCTAGTTTAACATCCATAGCAGAGCTCATTTCTGAATAATGGCTACAAACTGTCTGCGGACTAAGGCTTGGATTTCCCAGAAGTGAAAAGCCACAAAATTCATAAATGAAGGTATGGCACCACACATGTCAAGGAACTTAATTAGGAGGAGAAGTCATCTCCAGGAAGAATTTGGACCTGTTGCAGCAAGTCCAGAGATGGGCACGAAGGTGATTATGAGGGTGGAGCACCTCGCCTACGAAGAACAGTGGAGAAAATTGGGATTGCTCAGCCTGGAGAAGATTTTGAGGTGACCCAATTTTGGCATTCCAGTACCTGAGGGGAGCTACAAGGAAGAGGGAGAGGGACTATTCACAAGGACCTGGAGTGACAGGAGAAGGTGGAATGCATTCAGACTGAAAGAGAGGAGGAATGCATTCTTGACTGGGAGGATGGTGAGTTCCTCACACAGGTCACCCAGAAAAGTTGTGGATGCCCTGGAGGTATTCAAAGCCAGGCTGGACAGGGCTCTGAGCAACCAGGTGTAGTGGAAGGTGTCCCTGCCCACAGCAGGGGTGTTGGAACTAGATGATCTTTAAAATCCCTTCCAATCAAATCCTTTCTGTGGTTCTGTGATTCTAAGCCTTTGCTGCTGTGTTCTTTGGAAAAACAAGGGTGCATTTCCCCAGGAGCTTTTTGCATTTACCAGATTCTCTTCTATTACTGAGAAGCACACCTGCCCTCCCCAGAGCACACAGCAGAGTCGCACTGGAGTGGTTCAGGCGTCCTCTGACTGAATGCTGTACTGTCATCCATTATTACTCAAGGCCACTCATAACATGCATTAACATTTATAAAGTTGGAATCTATTCAGCCTGTCCACCCAATAGCTGACTAACTGGATGTTATTATTCGAAAAATAAATCTCATAAAAAGGGAAAACAAAATAACCCAGGTATACAGAATAACCCACTCTATGCCTGTATTTTCTCTAACACAAGCATTACTAATACTGAACAAATGGACTAGTATTTAATCTGTAACAGCTTCTAAGCTTCTCACAGGACAAGAAGAGTGAAGACTACAACTTTTATTTTTGATTTTGCACTTTTATAACTGAGATGAAAACTAAATAGGCAAATATTTTCTACTAGTTAGGGGTTAACTAGTTAACTAGCCAACTAATTGCTACTCCTCTACATTAAAAAAGGTGCTGTGTGCTTCAGGGGGAAACAGGCACCAGTAGCAACAAGCTGCTCAGCACTTTTGTGCCAAATGCTCACAAGAATACCGAACACAGAACACATCCAGAGCTGCGGCAAGTCAGGCTCAGGAAACCTAAAGGTGGAAGAAGCACATCTTTCACCACCTTGTCCAAAATTAAAAAGAGTAAACCTTACACCAAAATGTTGCTTACAAGGGCTTTGCTTGCAGCAAATACAATGTAAATTTGCCTGAAGCTAATTGTAAACCAGTAAAGGCTGCACTCCTGCATGGGGACTGGGCGATGTCGGGTTAATGTGCAGAACCTTTAGGTGCTGCCCAGAATTATTCCTGCTCCTGGAGCTCGGCGGGCTCCACACGCCCTGTCTTGGGCTGTGTCTTTAAAAGGTGTCAGAGGAAGCACGGCCAGGACCCCACAATCCCCACCTGCCCCTGGAGTGTGGCTGCAGCTGCCCCAGGAGCCACCCCCACTCCACCCCATCCTGTCCCATCCCGTCCCATTCCATTCCATTCCATTCCATTCCATTCCATTCCATTCCATTCCATTCCATTCCATTCCATTCCATTCCATTCCATTCCGTCCCACCCCATCCTATCCTGTCACATCCCGCCCCATCCCAATCCAATCCCATTCCACCCCATCCCATTCCACCACATCCCACCCTATCCCATCCCATTCCATTCTGTCCCATCCCATTCCATCCCATCCCACCCCATCCCAATCCCAATCCCAATCCCAATCCCAATCCCAATCCCAATCCCAATCCCAATCCCATCCCATCGCATCGCATCGCATCCCATCCCATCCCATCCCATCTCGCTCCCTTCCAGCACGACCCCGCTCGGTGCTCGAGGTCCTTCCCGTGGGTTTGGTGCACAGGCAGGCCTTGCTTGTTAAAACCTCTTCCAGTTAAAGACCTGAACCAAAGAACCCCCAAAAGCACACAGCAGCCACCGCCGCCCCCAGCCAGTAAATCCCCACCCTGACTTGCTGGGCTGAACTCTCCCTCCAGACAGAGAGGTTTTTTTGAGGGGGATTCCCCCCCTGTTCTCAGGAAACATTTAGATCAGTGTCTACAAAGCATTCTTCTTCAGAGACTGATGAGAAGTTCTAAAAAGAGCTTTGTCTTCAATTACGAAGAACATTCAGCTTTTGCTCGTAATGTATGTCCCATATCAGCCAACGCTTTGCACGAGTGACCACAGAACAAAATGTTCAGTGAAAAAGCTTTAACTCTATGGCTTGTTTTTCTTCAGAGGAATTTGGTGTGATGAACAGGTTGGGCCATGGGAAAGGCTCATTACATCTTCAGAATTCTCACAACAGTTAAGATTTCTAATCTCACAGCAGTGAGACTTTTTGATTTTAGTGAATCCCAGCAATTATTTTCTTCAACATTCTTTTTTAAACATACACTGTCCTATACATTTTTCAGATGGAGTCGTTAATAAGAGGTCCCACACAGCCACTGCTCAGAACCTCTGGTACAATTTGAGCATGCACAGATTAAAATACAATTAAAACCATAGCTGCCTCTTTGCAAGATTTACTGCAACACTTCAGATCTGGCCACTCCTCAGGAGCAAACTTCCTGAGAATGTTATACCCTGCTCCAAAAAGCAGCAATTCCCACCCAGTAGGAAGCAGTGGGCAGTCCTGGAAAAAAGCAATGAATTTGTATCACAGATTAAATGTAGAGATTAAAGGATTAAAATTTTCTATCATGTAGTGCACACTTGGGTATTGAATAATTTCATAAATGAGGAGAAAACAGCTGGAAAAGCAGGTCTTCAACTTCTATTGTTATGACAGACAAGATGTGCCGTCAAAATAGGTCTCTATTTTTAAGGAAAAAAAATTCTAATGAGAACAACACCTTGAGCAGTGTCACTGTGCAGTAGAAACTACATTAACTTGTCATAATATATCGCTTCTGTTGACATGATTTTCAACTGAATAACAAAATAAATATGAGCTTCAGAATACACAGTATTACTGAAGTGCTTGGAATGCAACACCTGGGGAGCACCCCAAACGTGGATTTTCTGATTCCTCTTGTTAAGATGTAAATGATTGCTACCCTCAGTTGCAGGTCACTATTTTGGGGTTTACCTATGTTCTTGTCTTACAAATGGCAAATCATGCCACTGTTTTTAAAAGTACACACTCACAAATAAATTCCTCAGAAAAGGTGATTCAACATAAAGCCAGCTATGATCTGAATGAATGGGGAAAAAAACCCTAAACCACCAAAAACTTATTAAGATGCCGTTTGCTGCATTTAAATTGCAGCCTTTTTTAATCTTCTTCATTTCAGTCATATTCTGCTTTCTGTGAGCAGGTACTGAGTCCTGATTTTGCTGAAGAATTTTGGACATGATTAGCATCACTGATTAACTCCTTTCATACTTCCTCGTCTTTTGCCATTTTTATAGTGTGGGACATTTATGATGCTTGCTGTGGCACCTTCTGTGTTCAGGCTCACAAAAATCCTTCTCAGCAGCTTCCACAGAGTGCAATCTGCTGCTGCTGGTCCAGCAATGCATGTGGTGGCAGTGGAGAGAAAAGATGGCAAAAGCTGCCAGGGACAAATCCCGTGCAAGCAGCTCCACATGCTTGGTTCCTTCCACCTCTCTAAGCATCCCCTTAATTCTTAAGATGTTCCAAAAGTACAGACATTTTCAGATCAAGGATAGTTCCTTGCCTGTGCCTTTTCCTCACTGAACTGACAGGACACTGAGTTTGTGGAACTGAGGTTTAGAGTACAGGGTGCAGTGACAGCTCTCAAATGAAATGTGTGTTGTGGTAGGACTTTCACTTCTGAATAATCATTCATCACAGAGAGTGATTAAGTGTCAGAGCTCATGACTTTTTTAGAAGCTTATTACTACTATCAGTACATATAGCAGTGAAGGAATGTAATTTTTTTTTTCTTCTCAACTCCTAAGAGGAAAAGCGAAATTGATTTGGGAAGTAGTTCATGTATATTGATATTAAATATTAACACGAAGCACTTGATTTAAAAAGCTTTGGGTATTTCCAACATTTTGTTACAGTCTTTGTTACTTTTGTTACTAAGTTCACAAACAGCCTTTCTGAGTGATCCAGACATGTAAAAAATCATTCTGCTTTTGCAGCAAGGCTGAATCTGCTTTGCTAACTCTAATGTCACGTTTCAGAGACTTCTTAAGATTCTTTTTTTTATTGCTTCAGCATATTATCAATTTTCATAGAGGTGAGTGTTTTTAGTATATCTCTCCAGAGTATTAATCACCATTTACAACGTATTATATCACACAACCTGCACCAATGCAGAAAAAATTCATAAAACCACAGAATCACAGAATGGCCTTGGCTGGAAGGAGCCTTCAAGACCATATAATTCCAACAGCCTTCCATGAGCAGGGACACCTTCCACTAGACCAGGTTGCTCAGAGCCTCACCCAACCATGCCTTGAACACCTCTGGGGATGGGGCAACCACAACTTTCCTGGGCAGCCTGTGTCACTGCCTCACCACCCTCATAATAATAAGTAAATAATTTCTTCCTAACACCTAATCCAAACTCTCTTTCAGTTGGAATTCATTCCCCCTTGTCCTGTCTCTACACGCCCTTGTAAAAAGACCCTCTCCATCGTATCACGGAAAAGCGAGAAACATTGAACTTGCTGGAGTTGCCTCTAACAGTCCCTTTTTTTCATTTTCCGAGGGCGAGAAAACAAAAAAGGCAGGGAAGTGGTGGAGTTCTGTGGGAATCTAGGGCTTCCCTCTGGCTGCCCTGGAAGGTCTGGGACCCTGGCAGAGGGTCAGGAACCCCCCTGGACAGAGCCCCCAGAGATACTGTCTCTGACCTCTGTCCATGGAAAAGAGATTTCAGTCTTAGAGGGTGAGTAAGTGTGGCATGGGTGCAAAAATGAAATTTTAGGATTCTAGATAAGGGGTTCAAAGGGGACAAGATGGAGGAAATTGGATGTGTCTTGTCCTTTTTCTCCTCCTTCATGCCCTCCATGTAGTGTTGGCATTTTTCTGTTGGTTCAGGCTGGGGACACACTGTTCAACGTAGGTGACAGATATTGGCACGTTATTGTAAATCCAGCACAGGTAGTTTCTGGTATTTAATGTTTGTACCATCCCACTGAGGGCAGAGCCCCACACGCTGCCCTGCAGGACAGAGCTGCGGCAGGGCAGCAGAACATGTTAGAGATAAACAGAATAAACAACCTTGAAACAGCACAGACCAATTATGGCTTCTTCTTTGGCAACGGGGCAGAAAGACAGAGACTTTCTACAATCTGGGAATCATCAATACCTCAGATTCCGACAGAGTTCACCATTTGTTTCTCCAGCTGCGACTCCCCGAGCCAGCGCTGCGGTCCCGCCTCCTGCCGCGGGAGGGCGACAGCCGCGCTGCCCCGCCCGTTCCCAGCTGCGAGCGCGAAACAGCCCCAAAAACACCCCAAAACCCCTCCGAGAGCGCCCCAAAGGCACCAGGAGGATTCCACCAGGCCACAGCGAAACCTTGCGGGGTTGTCCAAGCGTTAGTATGCAAGTGGAGCCTTAAGGGATTGGTGCGAATAATACCAAAATGGTCTAAGCCTCTTAGTGCTGCAGGAGTGGAAAATCCCATTTCAGACGTTTGTGCTCATAACTAGGAAAGAGAGGAGTGAAGGGTTTTGGCTTTAAGCAGTTAAAGCGCTGTCCAACTGCAAGACAAGAGGGATGTAGCGCTTAAGTAATGACTGTTTTGGTGTCAAGATAAGTCCTAAAATGTACAGAGCTCTTAATAAATTAGTAACATCGGGGTCTGCCCTGTATCTAGCAAGAAAAAAAAAAAAGGCAAAACAAAACAAAAAAACATTTTCTAAAGTTAATTATAACAACATATGATAGAATGTATAGTAAAACAGCTCATTACAATAAATATTCCATTAAAATAATTGTGACTCAACTTTCTCAAGGTTTTGTTGGACATTCTTAGACCAATTTTATTTATGAAAGTAAGCATCTCTGTATTTAAAGGTGTTAAGAGTTCATGTTCTTGCAAGTTTACTCAGTACAGCTGTTGAACTCTTTAATTCTTCTTCCACTGCTCTAAGGAAAATTAAATGCTGCAGATGTATAATGCCATATACACAGAATCAGTTCCTCATTTTCAGGGCGAGTTATTTATTTTCTCCTACTGATCTTCAGGGCAATCATGATCATTAGGTATTGCCAGGGTTAAATGAACATGACCTAAAGTGATCACAAGTCAGAAGTTATGTGAAAGAGATATTCTCATGTCAATAAGTGGAAATCTAGGAACTGCACTTGAAATATTTCAAACAAATCCCCCTCTTCAGATGAAAACATATTAAGAACACAAGTGAAAAGGCAGAAATAGACCTGAAACTAAAACATTTCCTGTCTCTGAGATATATTTGAACTAGACAGTCAACATTATTAAAGATGCTAGCGGTCACAGATAATCAATAGGTTAAACTTCATAAAACAAAGGAAGCAAACCCAAACCCAAAAACCCAAAATGGCAACAAGACAAAAAACCAAAAAAAACAACAAAAAAAAAAAAACCCAACCAACCAAGGAGAAGAGAAGAGAAGAGAAGAGAAGAGAAGAGAAGAGAAGAGAAGAGAAGAGAAGAGAAGAGAAGAGAAGAGAAGAGAAGAGAAGAGAAGAGAAGAGAAGAGAAGAGAAGAGAAGAGAAGAGAAGAGAAGAGAAGAGAAGAGAACCCTTATACTCTCTGAAAGTTTTAAAGTTTTACCCATTCCACACAGTTCCACGTGTCTGACCCTCTTTCACTCCACAGCAGCAGCCCTGAGTGAGGACATGAACCCCTGATGTGCCCTGGCAGCATTTCTGCAGCTGCAGCCCGGACAAGCCCACCTGGTCAGGAATTCCCCTCAGGACAACTGCAAGGAGCTTAAGAAGATTTGCATCCATTCATAAAAGATCACTTTGCTTAAGATGAAGCTAATGTGGAAGGCTTGCAGGAACTTGGGGTGCTTTCAGGGATATTGCCTCATTTTCCAGACCCCCAAGCTCATTTAATTCCCAGTTCTTATGGGGAAGAGGAGCACTGGGGGAAGAGGAGCACTGAACACCAAGTGCCTCATTGTTTGCCCTCCTGGCAAGCAGAGGAGCCACTGCAGAGCAGACTCTGCTATCCAGAACCATCACTGCCTGGCATTGTTTCACCCCACCAAGCTTTCCTCACCTCCTGAAACCTCTCCTCCTCCCATCCCACAGAAAGGGAAAAGCACGACTGGAAAACCTTCAGCAGAGAACTATTGCCAAGGATTATTTGAAACTGAAGAGCGCTCTCTGTGCCATGATAAGTGCAAAACCCAACTTCACATCTCTTATCCCGTGCTGTAAATCCACTGTTACCCTCAACCTCTCTGATGCTTTCCATGCTTTTGCAATTACCCTCTCAGATTTCCACTCAAACCTGCGTTTTTCCTCAGGCATGCACACGATAAAGGTTCCTTAAGCCAACAGAAATGCTCCTCCAACTATCCCACAACCCCATTTTAGGGTCTCCTCCAGATCAAACCTCAGGATATCTGAGCATCTAAGACCCAGTTGTTGTTACAAGACAATACCAACATCCCACAGCCAGCTTGCCACAAGTAAAGACTTTTTAACAATGAGAAAAAGAGAAACATCATTAAATTAAACAAAAAATTGGAAAGTCACCCATCTTTATTATTCTTGTGTATATATAGCACCAGCCTCTTAGAAAAAGGTATGGCTCAAACAGTTTTTATTTAAATACTGCAAATTAGAGTGCAAAAGCAATGCCACCAGTAAAACATGGAAATTTGTATGACACATTTTCAAAATGAAGTTTTCAACCCTAGACCACGAGGAGTTTTTCAGAGCTGCAGGTGGGAACTGGGAACACTTGCCTGCCTTTTCCATCCTAAAAAACTCTGAACACATCTTTAAACAAACAGGAGTAATTCAGAACTTCAGAGTATCTGAGCTCTTCTAGTAAGGAAAAACAACAGTAAGGAAGAAAATTTTGCGCAGTTATGTTTGAAGAGAAGAGAGTGTGGCACGGCAGCCACACATAAAACCAGTTAAACCCCACTTTTATCTGTCACACCCACCAGGCATTTTTATTCTGTACTCTTTCATTTACAGTAAGTGCACTTATTACTGGTTTTCAGTCTGTTTTCTTGCTAAGACATTATGTAACAGGAATGAAGGAGCCAGAGCTCTTTGAAGCATCCTCAGCACATCAGAAGACTCATTCACCAGGTTGTTAGACACAATGAAAGAAAAGATGCATGAAACCAAGAGCACAATCCTCCTCCCCAGTCATCTGTTTCATCTCTCCCACCTATCTTTTAGGTTATGGTCAGCAGAGTTTAAAGAGCTTCAGCTTTGTGAATCTTTGGGGTTTTTTTAAAGACACATTTTACTACTAAAGTGTACAAAAGCAGCCACCCAAGGCAGAACGGAGTTTTTATCCTGAACTGTTGTACTGGTCCTTTAACTTTTTATGACTCATAGTTCAAGTATTTGGGAATTCCCCTCTAAATATGAGTTTGACACCCTTGCATTATGGAAAGTTATTTTATTCAAAAAGTAACAAAATGCAATATTCATGCAATACCCTGGTCTATATTTAACACCACACAATTGGATTTTCCTTTTTTTTTTTTTTTTTTTTTTTGCAATAAAGCTTCTAATTAAAGACAGATTAAAAAAAAAATCAAGAATAAGGCTGAATAGCAGAAGTAGCAGCATTGAAAGAGACAATCAGTGTTACACATCCAAGCAAGGGAGGATTTTTTTAACTATTCAAACAATTTTAGAGCTGTTTACCTTTTTCCCCAGACCCCCCCAGTTGCATGTAAGAGTACATAGCTTCTCTCTTACCTGTGTGCTCAAGTCCCTTCTTGGTGGGCTGGCTACTCATCAGGGATCACCTGACTAAAGCCTGGAAAGAAATTAAAATATAATCAGCTGACCACCCTTGCTCACTGGCTCACAGCTTAAATACTCCACAGCACTTTGTCATGTGAGGCAGGACAGAACCAGCTGTCATTGCTTCAGAAAAAAAGGGAAATGGGCCCCTCTGTTTCCACCTCCTTCCTTCCTCCTCGCTCACTCTTTCCTATCTGTCCCTGCCTCCGACCTCCTCCCTTTCTCATTCTTCCACTTTGCTCATTCACTGCCCGCCTGGCTGGGGTCTCCCAGGGGAAGCCGCATTCCACAACGCACAAGCATTTCCCCTGCATCCCGAGGTTTCTCAACAAGCTGCCTACACATTTGTACTGGAGGGGGAAAAAAAATTCAAAAAAATTTAAAAAAAAGGGAAGAAAAAAAAAAAGGCAAGAAAAAAATAAATCAGAGAAAAACAGAGAAAAGGCACCACATTCCACAACCCTCAGTCAGCCCTGGCAGAGTACGAGACATTTTCAGTCACACAGCACAAAATGCATTAGTCAGAGCTGAAAGACCACACACTTTGTACCACTACCATGCTAACACAGAATGGTCTGAGCAGAGCTACAGGAAAAAGGAAAGGAGGGGTTCCTATTGGTGCTTCCATTTTACATGGGGTGGTCACCTAAATGTATGAAAAAATCCGCAGGAAAAGGCCCAAAGTTGACATTCCCAGCAGAAACAATGTGGACGTGGGCAGCGGGGGAAACTCTCCGCTCACGGAGTCCGACCTTGGCCGAAAGGACTCCCCCTCCAGCAGGATGTGTTATCCCAAAGACTGCAAGACATTATCTAAATCAGAACTTCTATCTCCCCAATGGTTTGTTCATAGGAAATACAAGCCTAGAAAAAGTGAAAGTAATACTGCATGATTCAGATTCCCCGAAACCACATCTACTTTCAGTTCAGACTTCTCTCTTCTCCGCTGCTCCTTAGCAGCTCTGCAGCTTTATCCATCTATGGAGTTTTGTTTCCTCTACTTACGCAGTTTCAGCCCTCCGTGTTCGCAGGGAATCTGATCAGCAAGAAACGAGAAGGGAGCTCAGCGTAAAAAAAAAAAAAAAAAAAAAAAAAGAAAACCCTCCGTTCTCATCCCAATGACCTAATCACTCATCTATCTGCTCACTGCTTCCGTCCCCCACACGCACTTATCTCTGGCTTGAAGGCATTTTAGGAGTGAGGACACGGCTTGGGAGAAAACAGCGCTTCTAAAATCACATCAGAGAGGGACAGTGCTGCGAGGAGCACCCATTTGTGTCCCCTGGGAACAGCACCACGGAGCCCCCAGCCCCAAATTCCCTGCTCTCAGCTCCGAAATCCTGCTCCCACCAAAAATTCCCTGCTCCCAGCCTCAAATTTCCAGCTCCCAGCCCCAAATTCCCTGCTCTCAGCTCCGAAATCCCTGCTCCCACCAAAAATTACCTGCTCCCAACCCCTAATTTCCGGCTCCCAGCCCCAAACTCCCTGCTCTCAGCTCCGAAATCCCTGCTCCCACCAAAAATTCCCTGCTCCCAGTTCCTAGCTCCAAATTCCCTCCTCCCAGCCTCAAAATTCCCTGCTCCCAGACCCAAATTCCCTGCTCCTAGCCCTAAATTCCCTGCTCTCAGCTCCAAATTCCCTAATCCCAGCCCCAAATTCCCTCCTCACACACTTGAATTCCCTGCTCCCAGCTCCAAATTCTCTGCTCCCAACCCCAAATTCCCTGCTCTCAGGTCCACATTCCCTGCTCCCAGACCCAAATTCCCTGCTCTAAGCTCCAAATTCCCGGCTTCCAATCTCTAATTCACTGCTCTCATCTCCAAATTCCCTGCTCTCAGTTCCGAATACCCTGCTCCCAACCCCAAATTTCCACTCCCAACTCCAAATTCCCTAATCCCAGCCCCAAATTCCCTCCTCACACACTCGAATTCCCTGCTCCCAGCTCCAAATTCTCTGCTCCCAACCCCAAATTCCCTGCTCTCAGCTCCACATTCCCTGCTCCCAGACCCAAATTCCCTGCTCCCAGCTCCAAATCTCCAAATTCCCTGCTCCCAGCCCCAAATTCCCGGCTCCCAGCCTCAAATTCCCTTCTCCCAACCCCAAATTCCCGGCTCCCAGCCGCTAATTCACTACTCTCATCTTCAAATTCCCTGCTCCCAGCCCCAAATTCCCTGCTCCCAGCCCCAAATTTCCCACTCCCAGCCCCAAATTCCCTGCTCCCAGCCCCAAATTTCCCACTCCCAGCTCCAAATTCCCTGCTCCCAACCCCAAATTCCCTTCTCCTCATGGAACTGTCCCTTACACACCCTTCCAAGACCCAGGGGCTTAACCCAGAGTCAGAGAAGTGTAAGGAGGCGGGGGAAGATGGGGAGAGCCCTCAAGCGCCTGCACTGGAATTTCTCTTCAGGAAAGTCCATGCTTTAATGAAAGACTGATACTAGATACCACAAAGAAACTTTTATTTCTCTACGCACATGAGTCAGATGCATTTTCTATGTGGGTTGTGTGGTTGTGTTATGTTTCATCTTAAAAAACTGTTTCAAAGAAACCTTTAAACATTAGTTTTGAGAAAAACTTGATGTGTTTATGTACAGTGAGGGTTTTTAAACTGCCTTTTATTGCACCATGCTGTATAAAGCAGAGACACTAATGTCTGTTTTCATTATAGACATAATTCGAATCTAATACTAAACACAATAATCTGTAAAAATATTTATTTTAAATTACATCCCTAAATAGTTCGCAGAAAAGTAAACAAACTGAACCCTTCAGAAAAACAGATCCTCTTAGTTATAATATTGTTATCTGTCCTCTTTTTTCATGTTCTCGATTTTGAAAATACATTTACTCACTGTGTTATTGACTTAGATGCATTAGTTTATAAAATAAGTGGTAGCTGCTGCTGCTGTGCAGTATTTCAGCAGAGGAAGGCTGTCCAGAACTGCCTCAGAGACCGAAACACTGTCGCCATTATAACAAAAGCATTAAAATGAATAATTCATGAGCAAAGGAAGTACCCTACCATTAAAAGGCACCAAGTATTTAATGAATTGTCCAAATGCTACCCCTTTTACTGCCCAGTTCCTCTTGCTACTTAATTATGCTACATTTTTCTAAAATGGAATCAAGTAGTAATCAGCAGAAACACGCGGATCACTTGTAGGAGACTTTCCTGAGGAGTAAGAAATAAAAGCTAAAAAATGAGCCAGAGAAAGAGAGGGGAAGAAAAGTGTTTATGTCTGATGATGGATGTATTAAGGAAATGACACTTCACACTTGAAGGCTTTTCCAAATGGTGCTTTTGAATCTTGAAAGGGAAGAACATCGACAAATATTCTTTGCAAAAATAAAGGCAATCAGTTCTTTGCTTTTATCTGCTACCTTCTTTTTCAGGATCCCAAGGCATCATGAAAATGCCCAGCAATTAAAAAGCCCCATTACTGAGGACTTTCAGAACTTTCCTCCTGTTTATAAGGCCTCAAGAAGACTAAATTATTTTCTCCAGATCACACAGAAAGGCTTGGAGAATGAGGCAAGAATAGAGCTTCATCTGGCTACCAGTCCTGTGCCCACCACAAAGAGCAACTTCCTAGCTTTATGCTAACAAGCATCAAAAAGTTCAACAATCCTGCATGTTTTAACCTAATAAAATGAACAGTGGTGCACAGGCATTTTCTGCAGGGATAGAAGAAAATTCTGAACCATTTACCCCACATTACAGCAGAATTATGTGCAAACTTAAGTTCTGAATAACATATTTAAAGGAATTTTGCCTAGAGTAGCATCTGCTTGTATTTCTTTTATCTACTGCACGAAACACAAGTACAGTGCCTGGAAAGAGATTTATTTGTAATATACACTTTCAAACTTCCCAATATATTCAAAATTGGTACACTAACATTAATGAACTTCTCAGACTTAATTTGAACCAACATCCAGTTGTCAAAATTGAAGAAACTGCATCTCTAAGACATTTTGCAGTGGGACAGCATTCCATAATGCCGAGCAAAAGCCATCCTAAATATCTTTACTTACATGGGTCATTTTTTTTTTTAGCTGTCCTACTCTCCTACACTATTGGGAAGATCTCAAACACAATTCTTATTCCAAGGCTCTCATTGCAACAAGTTCACCAATTATGTGGCAGCAAGCCCGTTAATACTGAGATACAAAAACATGTCCCCAAGGCATTATGGATGGAATGAAAACATGAGGTGTTACATTGCAAAATCAGACACTGTCACTGGTCAACACTGTAGCTCCTGCGCTTTTTCTTTTTAAACCAGTTGGCTTCTTTGCAGAGAATTGGTAAGCACTTTTTTGGTTGTGACTTTCCAATTTCTAGGTTTTTTTTCACTTTTTAAAAAATTTCAATAGCATCTATTTGAGAGAGATGCTCTTTTGATCTGGTATTAGATGGATGACTTTCATTCTGCCAAAAAAATTTGCCCTTCAGTCAACTCGGAGCTGCTCCCACAGCAAGTCCTTACAGGAATAAGGAAATGCTCTTTAACAGCTAGAACAATCTGTACAGTAAAATGTATTTTTAGTCTTCAGTCCCCAAGGAACTGTGAGTAGAACTGAACTGCAAAACAAATATAAAAAACTCCCATAATTTGTTGTTAGATATAATTAATATAGCCCAGCTCACAGCAAGCAGTTTTATTGTAACTGATAGACTATTTCAGTACAAGTGACCATTAAAGGTTTGATAACTTGTGGCAGGAAGAAAGAGGAGGAAAACCCATGAAATGTTTATGGTAACTCTTCCAAAGATGGAAGAAGTTATCTTTTTTAAAATTGCACCAAAAAAACCCAAGAAACTGATTAAAGAAAGAAATGCTAAGAACACTACAAGTTTATCTCCTTCAAAATATTTATCTTGAGTCAACATTACAGGAGAAATTCTGTGTTGACATAAATCAGTATGAGTGTGTCCACCAAACCAGCAGCCTCCACCAGGGCATCCAGACTATTGAGTCACTACCTAAACACAAGTGTTCCAGAGAACAA